TGTAGGCACTGCGTGTATGTAGGCACCTGCATGTGTGTGTGTGTGCATGTAGGCACTGCATGTATGTAGGACCTGTGTGTGTGTGTGTGCATGTGTGTAGGCACTGCATGTGTATAGGCACCTGCTTGTGTGCATGTATGTGTGCATGCATGTAGGCACTGCATGTATGTAGGCACCTGTGTGTGTGTGCATGTGTGTGCGTGCGTGTGGGCACTGCATGTGTGTAGGCCCCTGCATGTGTGTGCATGTGTGTAGGCAGGTGTGCGTGAGAGGAGCAGATGCATGCAATTCCCAAGAGGCCTGTCGGTGTGGCCTTAGGGAGTCGCAGCAGGTGCCTGAACTCGGCCTTCAGAGTGTAAGAGAGGCAGCCTCGGGACACACGCTGGGGGACATTCCAAGTCCCTTGGCTTTGGACAAAGGTGGCCAAGCATGGGGTGCATCGGACTTGCCAGCCAGGACTCTGGGGGACTTTGACAACTTGCTCCTGGGCCACGCCGGGGGCGCACATCTGAGGTCGCCGTGGTCACCTCACTCTGTCCCCTTGGTGGCCTGGGAACTTGGGAGCCGCCTGCAGGAGGTGCCGAGGGCTGAGGGCAAAGAGAGCCAGGCCAAAGGCGTCTGCAGAGGCGCGGGAGCCCCGGGGAGGCCAGCAGGAGGCGGAGCCTGCGTCTGGATGGAAACATCACCCAGGCAAGGCCGACACAGGAGCAGCAAATCCAGGAACGTGGCTCTGCTGCCACGCGTTGCTAAACAGCAGTTTGAATGGCTGTGCTTGCATGGGACGGTCGGCCTTAAGAACCTGGTCCGAGACAGGCGTGGGGGTGCACACCTGTGATCCCAGCACTCTGGGAGGCTGAGGCGGGAGGATGGAAGGGTCGAGCCCAGCCCGGGTGACTCAGAGAGACCCTGTGTCAAAAAATAAAAAGTGGGGCCTAGGGCTGCAACTCCACGTGAAGGCCCTGGGTTGGATCCCCAGGACTACAAAAAAGAAAGGAAGAGAAGAGAGGAGAGGAGAGGACAAAACCTGGCTCTCCGGGACCCTCGGGAAGCCAGACCCCCAGGACGAGAGTGACCGTGTCCAGGCCCCTGCTGCGTGGACCTGCTCGAGTCTCCGTCCTGCCTGGGCCTCAGTTTCCCCTGGCGACTGGGCACCAGGCCAAAGGCAGAGAAGTTGCCCTCCCAGGTGCCCTGCAAGCCCGGCTGCCCGCTGGGGCCTGCACCCCGCACCTACCTGGGGAAGCCCAGCTGGGCGCAGGCCACGCCGGCGTAGGGCCCTTTCCAGTCGTCGGCACACATGGTCCTCCAGGCGCCAGCCACAAACACCTGGAGCACCGCGGCGCGGCCGCTCACCCGCACTGAGCCGGGGCAGCGGGACGTCAGGGCTGCAGAGCCACCCTGGCCTCCCCTTCCCACTGCCACCCTCGGCCCCCAGAGCACGGCAGAGTGCACCTCTGCACCCCGACCCTGCGCACAGGCCTGGTCTCAGCCACGTCCTTTCCCCGGGAGCAGCCTCCCTGGCTCCAAGGCAGGGCCCCAGGGGCGAGCGCGGAAGGCCACCCCTCCTGCCGCTGCGGTGAGCAGGCACGAGCTTACCACACCGGTACTCATCCTCCCCCTCTTTGCAGTTGGACACCCCGTCGCAGCGCGCTGCCAGATCGATACACTTAAAAGACGAACGACACCTGTACTTCCCGGAGCAGTCAAAGTGGACTAAGGAAAGGAGAGACAAGAATGTTGACAAGCAGCTTTTTCAGTGCACAGCACTGGCAACTGTCCACCTGCCCATGAGCTTGCCCATGAATAATGAAACCTGTATTGAAATTGCATCCCTGTCAGCAGCCTGTTTCCTTCAGCTCTGTTTCTATGTTGAATTCTGGGGGGTGGAGCTGCCGCGCCCCACTTTGTTTCAGAGTGAGACCTGGCCTGGGAGCCCCAGCACAAGGTGAATTTAGATTCTGGGGTGACTCAAGGTCAAGAAAGAAGAGACATGGCCTAGAGGAGCCCTGGCTGGGATCTCCTGGGCCAGCTCTGTCCTCTGGACTCTGGGCTGGAGAGGAGCAGACTGTGGGTCACACAGCCACCATGGGCGAATTAAACTCCCCTGGGTCCAGCTCTTCGGAGGAGAAAATGAGAAACGATTCTGATCAGAGTCTCTTCCGTCCAGGGACCCATTTTCCCGAGCCGCCCCAGCACCTGCTCTGGGGGGGCCGGGGCCGGGCCTCGGTGAATGGGAACCTTTGTCTCTGGTCCGCTATGCCCCTGCCCACCGCGGCCCACTGAGGCGTCGTCTCCCGCGTGGGCTCCTGACCAGGGGAGGCTCCGCAGGTGCGAACCCCGCCCGGCTCCCGACTCTGCCCGCGGTCCGAGGACTCACCACCCAGCCCGATGGCCAGTGCCAGGATCAGCGTGATGATCCCCACAACGATGATCGGAAAGAACTTCAAGGGCAGCAACGACAGGATCTGTGCAGCCACCGCATCGGCGTCTGGGCCCGGCAGGAAGCCAGAGAAAACTGGTTTGGAGGGGTTGAACCCCAAACTCAGCTGTTCACCCCTCCTTGCTGGGCCAGGAGGTCCCTACCCAGAGAGGCTAGCTCCTCAGGGAAGGGCGTGTGTGGCTCATCCTGCACTGTCCACTGGGCACGGGCAGTGCCGTGGGCTGACCTGTGCCCCTCAAAAGGACACATCAAGGCCCTAAGCCCCAAGACCTCAGAATGGCACATCATTTGGAGGAGGATCTTCTTTTTTGGGGGTCCTGGAGATTGAGCCCCGGGCCTTTGCACTGAGCTCTATCCCCAACCCTGTTTCATTTTTTATTTTACAACAGGACCTTGCTAATTTGATATATCCCAGATCAGGCTCAATCTTACGATCCTCTTGCCTCAGCCTCCCCAAGTGCTGGGATTACAGATGTGCACCACCACGCCTGGCTTGGAGGATATTTATAGAGCAATCTAGGTAAAATGAGGTCCTTAGGGACAGCCCTACTTCAATGTGGCTGTCATAGTTATTAAAGGAGAAATTGGGACAGAGAGACAGGCACACACAGAGGCAAGATGCCAAGAAGGGACAGGAGGAGCAGACGGCCCTGTGAGGATGAGGGCAGAGGGTCGGTCACGTCTGCAGTCCTGGGATCCCGAAGGCGGTTAGCAGATGGCCAGAAGCAGGAAGAAGCCAGGGGATGCCCCTTCCACCTCCCTGGAACTGAGAGAGAGGAAAGCCCCACTGTTCTTAGTCATCCGCTCGGTGGCACTGGGTTCCAGCCGCCTGTGGACACTGGTCTCTGCCCAGGACGCTCGTGTAGTTGACCTGGACCCAGAGACTGAGGCAGCCAGGCCCCTGCTCATAAGGAGGTGAGATTGCACGCCCTCACTGCACACAACTCAGGTGAGACGTCAGGGAGAGGAGGTAGATACACCCCAACCCACGAGGCCAGGCCACCTCACACTGACTGTCCCATAGGGCTGGGGAGCACAGCCATGCTGAAGCTGTCATTAAATTTAGGAAAGATCTTGAGCATTGTGGCCCCCGCCTGTAATCCTAGCACTTGGGAGGCTGAGGCAAGAGGATCTCCATGAGTTAAAGGCCAACCCGGGCTACACAATGAGTTCAAGACCAGCCTGAATGACATAGTGAGACCCTGTCTCAAAAAACCAACAGAAAAATGTAAGAAGGATGGAATCTGCAAAGGGGACGGAGCCCTGACAGCCCAAGGGGCAGCTCAGATCTCCCTGCCTCTGCCTTCAGAACTCAGAGTTTCAGCCTCTGCCAACACTGAGGGGTCAAAAAACAGCGGGGGCATCTGAGGCTGCCTGAGATGGAGAAGTTGAAGACAAAATGGTAAAAATGGAAAAGGAAGAAAAGGGAGAGTAGGAAGTGAGCCCAGGTACTGGGCGGCAGGAGAGGGCAATGGCGGGTTTGTTTCGGGCCTGGGCGGGCCGAGCAGTGCTTTCAGGGCTGCCTTCCCTGGCCCAGAACAGGAGGGTTCCACAAATATGTGCTGGAGGATGAATGAATGAATGAATGGTGACTGGATGGCTGAGAAAACTTTCTGCCTGTCTGGAAGCGAAGGGGACCCCACTGGACATCTCTCCCCATGGACTGCTGAGGACTCTGCTTGTCGCTTCCACTGCTGTGCAGGGAGGGCAGACCAGCCCCTCCTGCGGCCACTGGGACACAGGTGTTAGTGTCCTCCTGTGTCCAGCTGGAAACGACACCAGCAGGCTGGAGCACAGGAACCCCACTTCTGGGAATCTTCCCTAAAAGGTGTCATGGATACGTATACAAATTTCTCCCTACAGGGACACTGAGAAGAGTGACATTTACAATAGGACCAAGAAATGGGAACTGAAGAAGTAAATAACACATACAAGCAACAGAACACTTAGATACTTAGCGTGGAGGAGAAAAGAGCTGTCAAGCTTTGGTCCTTGGTGAAGACCCAAACAGCAAAGGCCTCAAACTTTAGGGGCCATCTGGCCTGGCCCAAACACTCAGCTTTGCTGTTGTGGCCTGAGCTCAGCCAGATACAGAATGTAAACAAGAGGGAGCATATGTCCCAATAAAACTTTATTTATAAAAGCAGGCAGAGGGCTAGATTTGACTCATGAGCAGTGCTTGAAAAATATTTAATTGATTAATGCCATGGAAAAATGAACTTGACATTGTTAAGTTTTTAAAAAAATGCTTCAGAAGGCAAATACATAGGAAAAAAAACAACCAAGAAATCCACTAATAAGGGTTAGTAGGGTTATTTCTGAGTAATGGTGCAAATGTGAGTGATTTTTTAAAAAACCTTTTTGGTTATCTATGTATTTTCTAAATTTCTACTATGAACAGTACATTGCTTTATTTAAAGTGAAGTTTGTCCCAGAGAGGAGAGAGAGAAAGGGTACCAATCCCCCACAAGGAAGGTAAACATTACGTACTACAAACACGTGCTGGGAAGAGAGGGCCCTTGATGGGGGAATGGGATAAAATAAAATAAGATTTATTTATTTTTTACTTTTTTGATACCGGGGATCAAACTTGGGACCTTGTGCTTGCAAGGCAGGCGGTGGAACCACTGAGCTAAATCCCCGGCCCTAAATAAGATTTATTTTTAAAAAATAAGTACAAACATGTACTAATAAAAAGTAAACATACAGATACAAAAAAAGTGTGTTCCTTTACATTCCTAGGAATTAATCATAAATAATCAAAAATTAGAAGAAAGAAGTGTATAGCATATTCATACTCATATTTATATTGTAAAGCTTTCTAGGTCCAGTGATCCAATGGGGATACGCATCACACATCTGCATGAGGAGCAGCTCCAAGGACACGAAGGCCCATATAGAAGCCAGCTCGCCGTGGGACATGCCTGTCTCTCCCACACTGTGTCGTGTGAGAATCCCTAGTTAGAGACAAGGACAAAACCAGACAGAGTCAGACTAAGAGCCAGGTAGGACCTGGGGTCGGGGGATTCCAGGGCTCTTTTCTTTCCCTTACTTTATGCTAATTTGAAGGCACATTTTGAAACTGTGTGTCTCTTCCCTTACTGAAACCTCTCCCCCACCCCGTCCTCTGTCTGCCCCTCCTCCGGCTCAGCTGTCCGGGTGGCTTACAGACCCACTGGGGCCATTCTTTCACTTCCACCCAGCAGGTCCTGTCCCTGCTCCCAGCCCTGCTTCCGGCCAGTAGCCCCCAGCTCCCAGGACATGGCCCGATGGGCATTTGCCTGGCTGGGCAGGTACCAGGTGTTCACTCTTTGCCATTTACAAAAGCAACTTCCTTTCTCCGGTTGTGGAAAGCAGCTATCAGGTGCTGTCAGATTTTAACCTAGACACTAATACTACCAGAAGTCCTGCTTCTCAGGACCCCGCAGAGGGCTCAGTGCCCTCCTGGCCAGGATCTGTCCTCCTCCAGGACAAACCAGGGCCACCGTGGAGCCCCAATTTCTGAAAACTCCCAACCAGAGTAAAACACCCTCTGGAGAGTTAGCGAGTAGCTGAACAATCTCCCCTTGTCTGTGGATTCTGCAAACCAGACAGGCAGGTGTCCGGCCCTCGGGGGAGGGTGGACATGGAGGAGCCCTCTGCCCTGTTCCCTCAGCTGCGCCTGTCATCAACATGGGGGGCAGAAGTCACGGGCTCCCACAGGTGCCACCTACCTGGTGTGACAGAACTTATTTTCAAATCATCGAGGCCGAACAGTGACCGGAAAGAGAAGGGCCCCTCGGCTGCCGGCGGGTCATTCTCCCCCATGGTGACGATCTCAGGGCCTCTGACCCCCGGCTCTACCTCTACCTCCACCTCCTGTGCCGGGAAGAACAGAGACGTCTGTCCCCATGGGCAGTGTTGCCGTCGCCCGTGTCTTTGACGCATTTTAAATCTTTGAGTTCCACACAAATGGACTCAGGCCCAGTTAATCAAAAACACTTTCCCCTTCTGAACCAAAAAGCTTCTAGAATTAGCAAAAGAGCATAAACTTAACCCCTCGCCCTCAAAGGAGGACTTTTCCATCATTGATTTAACCAGTCTTTTTTTTTTTTGGTACCAGGGATCGAACTCGGGACCTTGCGCTTGTGAGGCAGGCACCAGAACCCCTGAGTTAAATCCCCAGTCCAATTTAACCAGTCCTAAAATCAGCCAGGGCCTTTAAAGGTAAGTCCTTTCAGCATTCAGCAGTGACTGTGTTGTTATTCTTCAGAAGATAAGAGACTTCCAAAGCCATGGCCCATGTAAGCGTGATTCTTTATGTAGCCGTGAGGTTGCTCTACCGCAAACCCTAAGAAGTGTCGATACTCACATAATGCTGGGGTCCCCAAATGTAGATGGCCCCGGAAAGGGACCCTCAGCCACAGTGCCAGTAGCTGCGCACACGGGCTGACCTAATTAAGCTGAAAGCATCTGGGCCCCCTGGGCCGGGCCTCCCCACATAGTTGAGGGAGGAGTGGCTGGAAACCGAAGCTTGTGCCAAGCCCACAGTCGGACTCGGTTTCCTATGAGAAACTGGGGTCAGTTTCCACCTGGGGAAAGGCCAAGGAGCCCGGGATGGTCATTCCTGGGACTCTGGGAGGGGACAGGGAGGAAGGAGAGCTCAGGGCTCCCCAAACATTCCGGTCACTCTCGGGGTCGAGCCTGGCTTCTTGGGCACCCTTGTCTCCTGGGGCTGAGACCTGCTGAGTCCCTGCAGGCTCGTGAACCCCGCTACTCAGATCTATTGTGATTTCCCTCCCTGCTGCCTGTTGTCATGTTTGAGACTCCTAAGGGAACTAGGAGCCATTGAAAACAAACTTGGCTTTCCAAGGTCTTAGTAAGAGCTAACCAGGAGTTACATGTATTTACAAAACTGTTCCCTGCCCCTCCATCCCAAGCGCTGCTTTGAAGGCTGACAGAAAATCAGCCGCGCACCTCCGTCCAGCCATCTCCGGCCCTGGCCCCAGATACTCCTGCTCACTATGGGCAGAATGCAGGGGAAAACACTTCCTGGATCAGCGAGGTGAGGAGCCTCGGGCGCCTCCCATCCCCACCCGTAGCTCACCGCGTCTGGAGCTGCCATGGTCCAAAGCAGGAGGAATTTCCTTTTTCATGATAAAAACCAGCGTGGTGGGGGAGCAGCTGCCAAGGGAGAGTCGGGCAGCGGGTTCTGGCCGAGTCCCTGGCCCTGTCGGCACGATCATCGCGGCCAATGGCTGTGGCGGGGCCTGTGTAACCCAAGCCCGGGGTGGCTCTCAGGTGGCAGGGACAGGAGGGCACCGTGCGCTGTGTGAGCGAGCTTGAGGGAGCTCTGCGGAGAGAGTGGCACTCAGGTGCCCCATCCCCCAGGTGTCAGCTCAGGTCTCACTGCCTGGGGGCAGAAGACCAGGCTGCCAGGCCGAGGAGGAGGAGCTCTGTGCAGGGTGCGCTCCGCTCTGGTCCCTGCAGCCGTTGCAGGGCAAGGGACAGGAGCGGAGAGGAGTGGGTTGGAAGGCCAGAGAGCACGGCAAGCAGCAGGGCCTGGAGGAAGACTCATGGTGGACAAGGCTAGGGAGGGATGCGGGTGACCGCAGGAGCCAGGGTTGGCCTCTAGGGAGGAGAGACACACGAGGACCGGGGTGCTGAACAACAGAGGGGCTTGTCCTGCGGGGAACCCTCAGCTCCAGGGCCAGGGGAGAGGATGCACCAGAGCGTCTGAGACCCCTCAGGGCCTGGGCGGGACGCAGCAGAGATGCGGACGCCAGGAGGTGAGGCCAGCCAGGCCGATGCCCGATCAGAGGCCGGGGCATCGGGAGAGATTCCAGTTTGCTTTCCATGAGACAGTGCTGCAGACCACCTGAACCGGCGAAGTCGGGCGGGCAGAGTGACGGGGATGTGGGCAGCCTGGCAGGGCTGCTGCGGGTGGCCTCGGTGACCCCGCCTGTGCCAATGGTGAGGACCCGCTGGGCAGGCTGCATCTGGAGGTGGGGCTGGCAGGGCTGTGGCAGCAGGCCAAGGCTGCAAGGGACAGGTTCGGGCTGTCGCAGTGTGACTCCGTCAGTTTTCTTGACCACCCAGGCCCCAGACGTGGCTGCATCCAAGCCCTCTGAGCTCAGACATCCCCAGCCCGGGACGGACCTCTGCCCCCAGAGACAGGGACAGGAGAGAAGCGCTCGGCGCTGCCTCTGCTTTGTGTGCTGGAGAGGCGAGCACCCCAGGGGACAGTGTGGGATGCTCTCTCACTGCTAAGCCCCGGGCCCAGCACCACTGTGACCGTGCCATGGGGACTGTAAGCCCGAGTGGATGAGCAACGTTGGAGAGACACGTGGACACCCATAGCCATCGTGAGGTCACATTAACCGCCGTGTCCGGCATGGGTCAAAGGTCAAACCAGCCTCCCAGGGATAGCCATGCAGGCACCGGGCTCCCTCCCCATGAAGTGCCACTTGGAAAGGCCCCTATGAACCAATTCCATCCGGGTCACAGCAGAACCTTCCGGAACCAGAAACGCGACCCCACCTGGGGCTGGCCCGTGGTCCTCAGAGAGCCGTCTTCCCAGCCTGAGGTCCCCGAGGGGAGCCCTGACACCAGCCACATGTGGCTCAGCAGGAGCTGGGGGCAGGAAACCCCTCCTGCTTCTGCTGGCTTCCGGAGCAAGGATTAAGCAGGCAGGCATTTCCTGGTGGACAGCAGTAGGACAGTTCTTTCTCTAGGAGAAATGAGTGGAGACATGCTATAAGTTAATATGTTGTAGCCTAGACACAAATGCTCCGAAAGATGCTTGTTATTTAGAAGAGAAAGATAGATTAAACAGAGGCTGCAATCAGGCCCTGCATGCATTTCTTTCTCCTCTGGCCAGTGAGCTCTGTCTATTCCTAGACTTTCAAATTCAAGAAGAATTGTTTGACTGTGAAATTATAGCATCTCATGAACCCCTCAAAGAAAACGGGACAGCAGTCTGGAGGACCCAAATGCTGCCGCTCTTGCTGACTGTGGAGTCTAGAAAAGAACACGGAGGGGAAAATCGTTGTTTCTGGGGCAGGGGCGGGTGAGAGGCTTGAGGGTCCAGCTCAAGGCCAGGAGTGTGGATGCGTGCGGTGCAAAGTCCCGCAGCCACACGGGAACCACCGCAGTGAGGCCAGGTCTCGGGTGGAGCTTCCCAAGAGCCGAGAGCCGACTCCCATGCCATAAAACAGGGGCTTACTTGGGGTGTCAATTTGAGCATCAGCATTGGACTATTTTTTACCAAAACAGCAGGCTAGGAAAGCAGCCTCAGGCTCGGCACAGTGTGAGGCCCTGGGGTCAGAGTCCACCCTAAGTGTGTACAATTGAAAAAGGAAAAAGATACCACCAAAAGTGCAATAAGCTCACGCTTAAAGGGGAAATACTGAAATATTTTCCTCTAAGATGGAGAATAATACAAGAAAATGCACTAAAATTACATCTCTTCAGCATCTTTTTTGAGGTCTAAACTAGTTCAATAAAGTTGAAAAGAAAAACAGAGGAAATACATTGAAAAGAAAGGGAAAAGGAAGAGAGGGAGAAAATGAAGGAGGAAAGAAAGAATGGAGGGAAGGAGGAAGCAGACCAGAAAGGAGGATAGGAAAGAGAGATAAGTAAAGAGAAATTTTAAGAACAGGAAAGAAAAAATGAAACCATCATTACAGACTAAATCATTTTAATGTAAAACACCTTTAAAATTCTAAAGGTAAGTTATTTTGTCTACTATATACACACTTAATATGTATATGATGACATTTTATGACCAAGGGGGTCAGTCTCATGGTAACGGCTTGATTTAAACACCACAAAAAATAAATCCATCTTTTCCTTTTTTGGAATTATGTGGCAAGAGTATATAAAGTTCAGGAGGACTTAGAAAGAAGAGGAAAACTGTCACTATTTGGAGAATGTATACATAGGAAATCCGTAAGAATCTCTAAAATTTTAAAATTAATAAGTGAGTTTAGAATTAATAAGTGAGATCATTAAATGTGAGATCAATATAAAATTGTATTTCTATTGCTGGCAACAAACAATTGAAAATGGAAATCGCTTAATGATACCATTTACGGTAGCATCAAAATATAATCAAACATACTGAGGGCCGGGGGTTTAGCTCAGTGGTTCCACCACCTGCCTTGCAAGCGCAAGGTCTCAAGTTGAATCCCCGGTACCAAAAAAACATACTGAAAACTACAAAAAAACTACTAAGAGAAATAGAGATATAGAGAAATAAATAGAAATATTCATGGGATGGAAGACTTAATATTGTTAGCCTGCCTGGCAAGTGCAAGGTCCTGAGTTCGATACCAATACCAAAAAAAATGTTGATTCTCCCCAAATGGATCTACAGATTCAATATAATTCCAAATAAAATCCCAGCAGCCTTTTTAGTTTGGCAGAAATTAATATATACTTTTCGTTGCTGTCCTTAATATTCCTTTCATTTTTTAAAAAAAAAATTAATTTTAAGGTCTAATTCGCACACTGTCGAATGTGCCCACCCTAAACATTTGGTTCAGGAGTCTTGAAAAACTACATACACCCACTTACCCACCACCGAATCAGGCTAGAGAACCCCTCATACATGTATCGCCCCCACCTCCTGTCCTGGCCTCAGGCACCCACCAATCCAGCTCTGTCGCCACAGATCAGTTTAATCTCTTCTAGAACTTCACAGAAGTGAGTTACACAGGGCAGTACGGTGGATATTTTGGCTGGCTTCTGTCACTCAGCAAAATACTCCTGTCTATCGACACACATTGCTCAGTGAACACTGTGTTGCTTTTCTACCTGTGTGGATGGCTCCACTGGTTAAATACTCCGTAATTTGCGTGTCCATCCACCAAGTGGCTTGTTTAGGATTATGTATGTGGGTTGTTTCCAGTTGAGAAACTGTTAGGAACGAAACTGCAAGTAACATTCAGAGACGGCGCTCTGTGTGTGGATATACATTTTTATTTGTTTCCATTAAAAAGCTAAAAGTAGAATTGATCCTATGGTAAATGTCTGTGGATCTTTAGAGAAAACTATCAAAATGTGTTTCCGACATGAGGTGATGACTTGCATTCTTACCAACAATGTGGGACAGTTTCAGTCATCCTGCCACTTTGTCAGAACGTGGTGATGTGGATTTTGATGGTTAATCTAGGTTGTCATCTTGATAGGCTTGAGAGATGCCCAGGAGATCAGCCAAGCACACCTCTGGGTGTGTCTGGCTGAGTCACAGGGTGTGGCCTGTGGACTGTGTGACCCCATCCTCTTGGGCTCCTTCTCCTTTGCTCTGCTTCCTGTCTGCCAAGAACTGAGCAGCCTGGGCCAGGGATTTAGCTCAGTGGTTCTGTCACTTGCCTCGAAAGCGAAAGGTCCCAAGTTTGATCTCTGGTCCAAAAAAAAAAGAGCATCCTTACTCTTCCACACCCTCCCATCATGAAGTTTCTGCCTTGGAGCCAGCTGACCATGGACTGAACCCAATGAAACCATGGCCCAAAGTAAACCTCTTCTCCCTGAAGTTCTGCAAATTAAATATTTGGTCACAAATAGGAGAAGCTGACCAATGTATCCGTCTTTTCGACTTTAGCTCAGAGTCTACTTGGTGTGCCATGAAGTCATGCGTGTTAGCATTTTCAATCCCCAGTGACTAACGGCATTGAGCGTCTCCTCTCCCATTCAGGTATCTTAGTTTGTCAACTGTCTGTTTAGATATATTGCCCATTTTTAGACTGACTTGTTCTGATTAACTGTAAGAAAATATTTTGAATGTTTGTGTGTGTAATACTTTGGATACAAGTCCCAGGTCAAGTACGTGTGTGGTGATAGCCTCTCCCAGTCTGTGCCTTGCCTTTTGGTTTTCTTTATGGTGTCTTTCAAGGGGTAGAAGTTGGCAATTCTGATGACACCCAGTTTATCAACCTCCACTTTACGACTTCTTATGGATCAGGCGTTGTATGTCCAAGGAAAAGTTTGCAAACTCCAACACACCAGGTATTTTCTCCCAGCTTTTTTTTGCGGTCTTACAGTTTCAGATTTTGCATGTAAGTCCACAATACATTTTGAGTTAGTTTTGTTGGGAAGTGAGCACTGAAGGTCATCCCATGCAGATGTGCCGTTCCCAGCAGCATTTATCGAAGCATGTCCTGTTCCCTCATGAAAGCACACTGGCGTCTTGTTGAAAGTCATCTGGACACACATGTGAGTGTTTCTGCCAGGACACACATGGCAACCTAATTTTTAACTGGATATGAAAAAGCAAAGGGCCTAGAAGAGCCAAGACAATCTTGAAGAAAACAAAAGTCAGAGAGAATAAGCACAAAACTGAAACATGAGCACATAATAGAGCCAGAAGTAGACTCATTCATATATGTACAGTCACGTGATTTACAATAAACATTCTACTGCAGTTTGCTGGCAAATGATGCTCTTGTCGATGGGAAAAACGAACAAAGCTTTATCCCCACCTCACAGCATACACAAAGTTAATTCCAGTGAATCACAGAGCTAAATACGAATGGTGAAAGTAATAAAGCTTCCAGAACAATACACAGGAGACCACGTTTATCAATGTGAATAAACAACAATGTCTGGAACAGGATGCAGAACACACTCTCCAGAGTTCCCACAAACTGATAAGAAAAAGGGAGCAGCCCAATGGGAAAAAAAAGAGCAAATGATATGAACCAGCGCCTCCCCAAAGAGGTACTTGAATGCCCAACAGGCCCATGAAAGGTCTCAGAATCGTTGTCCATCAGGGAAATGGGAGTCACAACCCCAGTGCAAATGGCCACAGTTAATTGGCTTGACCATCCCAAGTGTGGACAAGGACCTAGAGCAGCCAGAATGCTCCATGACTGCTAATGAGCACATACACTGTGACATCTGCCCCAGGGCAAAGCACGCAAGGGACAGACAGAGGCATTGTGCTAGACTGATCTAATTCCTACTCGACAGCAATGACGGTGAGCTCACTGCTGCCACAAGTGATGACGCTAATTTCACATCGAAACCAGACGTGAAGAGCACAGGATCTGCTTACACGACGCTCAAAACTAGGCACAATTAGTGCCGAAGTGTGTGTGGTCACTGGGGCAGGCGGAGATCTCAGGAGGGGGATTGGCGGAGTCCCCGGAAAGTCCCAGAGCAGAGTGTCTCCACCTTGCAGCGGACATCTGGGGCCAGGTTGTCGCGGGTGCTGCCGAAGTCCTGGCCCCTCCCCGCTACCCCTCCCCTCCCACAGTTGTGACAACCACTGTGTCCCCACAGGCCCCCGGGCAGGCTGTGCACATTGGGGCACTGGGGAGGTGTGCGCTCACCTACGGGAATTCCTCAAGTTGCACACGTGATTCTTCAACGTTTGGCTCGGTGAACTTTTAAAAAGTTTTAAAATCCAAAACAAGCCAGTGGATAACTAAATGAAGGGAAAGCCTTCAGAGCAAGCAGGGACAGCAGATGTAGGGTAGTCGGGGACTAGGGTCACTGAGGGCGAGTGGCCGCGGGACCCCTGACAGGGGCCCACCCTGACTTCCGCTCCCTGGTCCTGGGCCCACAGCCCCACAGACCCCCTGCTCAGCAGACCCGGCACCCCGTAGAGGGGACACTGCAGACCAGCACGCCTGCAAACAGGATATCACCATGTCAGAACCATCAAAAAGGGCTTGAGGTTTTGCTTCTCACCCCAGCCTCCTCCCCCAAACTCTGCTTTGTCTGCAGCTGCCTGGCGCACAGCAGGAAGGAAGAGATGGCAGCGGGAGAGACGCAGCTCTACGCCAAGATCAGCAACAAGCTCAAGGGGCGCAGCACCCCCTCGCTGCTGGACCCGCTCCTGGCCCTGGGCTTCCCTGCACACACTGCGTGAGTATGGGCGGCCAGAGCCCTGGCACTGGGCTCCTGGGCTGGGCCAGCACCTTCAGCAGTCAAAGTGGATAGGCTGATGGCACTGACTTCCTGCTGAAGAGGTCGCTTTGCAGGGCAAGGGAGTCCTCAAAGGGAGGCCCTTTCCACTTCCACCCCGAGATGACCTTAGTCTCTAAGGCAGCTCTGCTGGCCGGCTAATGGGGACCCCAAAATGCGTGCACTTGGAAGCCACGTGTTACTCCGGCTGCCCCCATTTCTGGGGTTCAGAGGAAGCTGGGGCCTGTGGTGACCTTTGTGCAGCTAAGTGATGCTGAAGGTGACATTTCAAGGTGTCTCAAAGTCCACCATGTGTTTCTGAAGCTAGGACCATGGAGAGAACCATCAGACAGATGAGAGCCCGCTGTCCCTGGGGAAAATAGCCCTCTCCTGGACACTGTTGGAATGTCCAGTCACGAAACAGGGTGGTCAGGGAATTACAGAAGTGTGCTGGGTGTAGCGGAGTGCGCCGTATTCCCAGCACTCCGAAGGCTGAGGCAAGAGAACCGCTTGAGCCCAGGGATTTGAGGCCAGCCTGGGTAACACAGGGAGACCCCTTCTGAAGGAAGGGAGGAAGAGAGGGAAGGAGGGAGCCAGAGAGGAAGGGAAAGAAGCAGATCAGAAATAAACTCTAGGCAACCCCGGGTTTGGGGAAAGTGCTCTCCATCCCCAGGCCGGAACCCAAGCCCTCCACTGGAGGAAACGGCCTTGAAGCAAGCCCTTGTTTCTCCCCCAAATCAGGGCTTTGTTGTCGCCATGATGTTTGTAACAACTGGGGGTCTGTTGAGCAGGAAGTGGACACAGGCACTGCAAGAGGCCACTGTGAGCCATCGGGCAGTTTGCACACTGCCCCTGCAGCCTGATGCTCTCCGCCTGGCTGTGGACAAGGACACCGAGGCCCAGGGGAAGCAGCTGGTGGCAAGGGCGGGTTCAGCTGGCTCCCTGCACCACAGAGCCCACTTGTGCTCACTGCCCAGGCCGTGTTGTGCCCAACGCTCCCTCTCGCTTCCATGCCACGGCCTCCCTGTCCAAAGTCCTCCAGGGGTTGCATCCCTGTTGGGGTCACCGGACAGCAGCAGGCCTGGCAGTGTCCAGCAGCACCCCGCCCACATGCCTAAACGATCGCCGGGCGCCTCGCCGTTCTGAACCTGGTCTGGTTCAGCTAAACCAGCTCAGGGGATTCCCATCCTCCACAGCAATGCCTGGCAGCCAGGAGTACAGTGGGGCTGGGACGGCCTGCAAGGAGCCCCAAGGAAGCCCGGGAGCCTTGCAGGCCGGGCAGGTGGTGCCCCTGCTGCTCTCTGATGCCCCTCCGCGTCTCCGCAGGCTGAAGGCGCTGGCAGCCACTGGGAGAAGGACTGTGGAAGAGGCATCCACCTGGTGAGTGCGGCTGGCTTTGGGGCTGGGGCTGCAGCCCTGTGCCTGGCACTCTGCTCCAGGGACCCTGGGAGGACCCAGGACGCTGGGTGGGACGGGACCCGGGCAGGAGGGAGATGAGATGATCCGCATGCTCCAGCCTGCACCCAGCACAGGAGATGGAAATGAGGAGGCTTCAGCCAAGATTTCCTCTCTAAAAGTCTGATTGAGGGCTCGGGGGAAAAGCGTGTGTTCGGCATGGGTGAGGCCCTGGCTTTGATGCCCAACACTCCCCCAAAATCTGATTTAATTGAAATTGGACTGTCAAAGCAAATTTAAGGTTGTTTGTTGACTAAAAACAGAGCAGCCATTGTCCCCACAAGAAAAAGAAAGGTCACAGCCAGGCACGGTGGCCCACACCTGGGACCCCAGCACTCCGGGAGGCTGAGACAGGAAGACGGCAAGTTTGAGCCTGGCCAACCTGGGCAACTGAGTGACTCAGCAAGACCCTGTCTCAAAACAAAATATCAAAAAGAGCTGGGGAAGTAGCTCAGTATAAAGGCCCTGGGTTCAGTCCTCAAGAAAGAGGAAGGAGGGAAGGGAAGGAGGAAGGTGGACAGGTGGGATGTGGGGGGCGTCCGCCAAAATCAAACACACACGAGGCCGGCCGCCCTGTTCCGCACAGCCCCATGTATCCGCATTTTCCCGGGAAGTGCAAAGGGACTAAGAAGACTTGCACAGGAATCCTAGCTACAGCATTAGGAATTTTTAAAAAGAAGAAAGGAATTTAAATGGTAATCAACATGGGAAGGACAAGTGCAGCGCTGCATGATGCAGGACGGACCGAGACTTAGCCTCTGACCTCCCCTGGCACACCTCTCTGCAGGTGCCTGTTTCAGCGTGTGTGGCCTGCAGCAGAGAGAGCAGGCTGCAGAATAATTTAAACCACAGCTCGAGATTTGAACAAAACATGCACAGTGCTACCCATAGATGTGTTGCTCAAATTTCCGGGAGAAAACAAAGCAAAATCTTCATTGAGTTTAACTCTAGGAAGGGACAAGAACGAACTCAAGATGTGAAGGGGTGTGGCGGCCTCTATTTATACAAAATGTCATCAAAACACACAGTGAATGTTTAAATTCCAAAAACAGTTATTCCAGTAAAAGACACATTGCCACGAATCTCGCTCACCCCCTCCCTCCCAACACGCTTGTCCCATGGTCCCTGCCACTTTCTGAAGCAGCTCTGGAGTCCTCTTTCCTGAGTGTCTTCACAGTGATGCTGCTGCCGAGCACCATCCAACGGAAAGGCAGCTCATGAAAACATGACGCTGGGTCCTCATGCACCTTAGTCACCGGATCTAGCACCATGCAACTTCCGGCTCTTCCTCCGAGTCAAAATGGCCACGAAAAGAAAACGTTTTGAGCAGAGTCAGGACATTGAGGCAGCAGGACAGCACCGCTAAAGACACTCAGGAAAGAGGACTCCAGAGGTGCTGCAGGAAGTGGCCAGGACGGTGGAATGAGTGTGTTTGAGGTGAAGAGGAGGATTTTGAGGGGGACACATGGCCATGTGTCCTTTACTATAATAAATTTTTTAAAGCGTAAGCATTCATGGTAGTTGTGGATTGCACTGCGCTTACCTTAGTAAGTAAGGAGAATGTCCCGAGCGTATCCAACATTTCCCCACGTGACCGTGCGCTTCTCTGCCTCACTGGGAAATCCTCAAAGCCATAATTTCTAATGAAAACATGATAAGTGGATTCCCTGCCACTCATCTATCTTTTTCCACTTTCCATTATAAATAGCCATACAACAAACACCTCGTATGTGAATCCTTCCTGCACTTTTCACTCTTTCCCTGGGACTCGTTCCTGCAAGTAGACTATTAGCTGAAGTTTGGGGTGTTTTAAGGCTCTGGAACAGCAGTAAACTGCTCTCTATCGAGTTCGCCCACAGCTGTCTTGCAGTCTTGCTGTAGCTTTGACACACTGGGCATTTTTATTCCTTGGAAAAAAAACTTTTATCAGTGTAACCAAGGCGAAAAATGATGTCTCCTGGTTGTTTTCATTTCCACATTCATTGTTTATTTATTATTAATGGGAGTGAATTCCATTTTGGGTTATACATCAGTTTCCTTCTCTTTCAAGTAATTTTGAATTGAAAGAAAATATAATAGGCACCTAAATTCACCTACTTTTTCTGGCGCACTGCATGTGCTTTTGATTTTTAACATTCAATCTGAAGTTTGTCATGGGACAAAAATGCAAATTTTGTGCTGAGGTGGGCGGGAGCCAGGATTGGCCTCCTGCCGACTTCCCTTCGTTCTCTGGATTCGGCTCCAGCCCTCGTCACATGCGCACACGTGTCACGCCGGCACCCAGGACGCGGCTGTGTGCTCTCCGGGCCTCTCCACAGGCCGCCAGGTGACCACCCTCCTCTGCTGCAGGCTGCACAGCCACTGCAATGACCCGACCCTGGACGACCCCATCCCCCAGGAGTACGGCCTCTTCCTCTGTCCCACGGGGCCGCTGCTTGAGAGGCTGGAGGAGTTCTGGAGGGAGAGCAAGCGCCAGTGCGCCAGGAACAGAGCCCACGAGGTCTTCCCGCACGTGACGCTCTGTGAGTTCTTCCCGGTGAGTCGGCCGAAGGCAGCCAGGGGTCCCCATTTTAGCAGCCAACAGCCCTTTTCTGGGACAGCTGGGCCATGGCAGGACACGACTGACTTGGTTTAATGGGGGGGTCCAGATCTGTAGTATCAGCTGGTTCTTTTGTGTGGGCTAATCTTTCCTTCATTTGGTCAACTCCTATTCACCCTGGAGGGCCCCATGAGTTTATCCCCTCTCTTTTTAAGTCTTCCAATATCCAGGTAGAAGGCAGTGCTGTGTCTTGCGTCTCCCCTTTTTGTCTGTCTCCGGTGGTGTTTCCTGTGCTGGGAAGGTGCAGCTCTGCGCCCTTCCCCAGCCTGAGGCCCTCCGGGGCAGATGCGTTCCTTGTCCTTATCCAGTGCCTTCACAGGGTAGGAACTCCCTAACCCCGAGCCCAATCAGCTGAAGAACAGGTGGCTGATGTGTGGTCACGATGCGGACTTTCCCTGCCTCGGGGACCAGCACTCGATGTAGAAGATGGTCAGACAAAGGGTCTTGGGGGGCTGGAAAGTGGGGAAACCCTGGGGCTGCCTGACAGAGGAGGAGAGGCACAGAGATGGTGCAGACCACCAGCCCCTCGTACCCCCATCTCCTCTCCCATGTGCCTGGGAACTGGGGGGACAGACGCAGCCCACATACCTACAATCGCAGCAATCGGGAGGCTGAGGCAGGAGGATCTCGGTGAGTTCAAGGCCAGCTTGGACTACATCGTGAGACCCTGCCTCAGAAAACAAGAACAAACAGGGCAGGGGATTTGGCTCAGTGGCACCATGCCTGCTTCCCAAGAGCAAGGTCCTGAGGTCCTGAGTTCCATCCCTGGTACCACAAAAATAGAGAGAGAGAGAGAGAAAAGAAAACAAGAACAAACAAACTAACCCCAGTGCCCCAGGATTCCCCGGAGTCGGCTGGAAATCTGCAGACTCGGAGTCTGAGACCAGAGCAAAGCTGAGGGCCCAGGGGCCGGGGAAAGGGGCAGGCCAGCAGGACCTGGGGAAGGAACAGGAGTGACGAGGGACCCCGAAGGCCGGCACTTGAAGGCAGTTCCATTCCAAAAGAGTTTTACCTGAAAGAGCTGAAAAACCAACCCTAGCTTTGGAGCAGGTTCGCTGCCCCAGACACTGGGCACTGACAGAGCAGGTCACACGCTTCAACCAAATGGTGTAGGGATTGCTTGAATTTTGAAAGTTTAGCACAGGAAAAGACACACTGGCATGAGGGCCCTAAAAACCCTCCCCCTCACTCTGAACACGCTCCTCCCACCGTCCTGACCACTTCCTGCAGCAGCTCTGGAGCCCTCTTTCCCGAGTGTCTTTAGTTGCGCTGCCCTGGCTGCCTCCATGTCCCGAATGGATTCAAAACATTTCCCTGCCGTGGTCATCTTGACTTTGGGGAAGAGCTGGAAGTCACACGGTGCCAGTTTCGGTGACTAAGGTGGATGAGAACACAGCGTCCTGTTTTTACTACCTGGCTTTCCACTGGATGGCGCGCGACAGCAGTAGTCACCGTATTTCTGATCACACCTCATAAAGACACTTGGGAAAGAGGACTCCAGAGCTGCTGCAGGAAGCGGCCGGAATGGTGGGAGGAGGCTGTTGGAAGCGAAGGGAGGACCTGAGGGCCTCACGGCAGTGTGTCCTTACTGCGATAAGCGCTTTCACTCGAACAAACTGCGCTTGCTGTTTCTCCCTCAGTGCGAAGACCAGAAGGTGGAGCGCCTGTACGAGGCTCTGAAGAGGGCAGGGGACAGGGTCCTGGTGTCCTTCCCGGCTGCCATCCCCCTGGTGCTCCACTCCTCTGCCAGCTACCTCGGCTTCTTCATCGGCGACAGCCCCGCAGACGTCCTCCGGGAATTCGCCATGGTGTTCTCCACAGAGGCCGCAGTCTTGGCAGGTGGGCAGCCCCGGATGGCAGCTGTTGGTGACCTTTGGCCAGGGGCCCCGGCCTGCCTAACGCCCAGTGTGGCTCCTGTCCACAGGCCGGGTACCTTGGCTCTCACAACACTTCATGGTCCCCAGGGGGACTCACTCGCCTCACCTTAAAATGGGGAGACTGGGGCACAGGGGCTAAAGTGCCTGCCACTCACGGTGCTGGCTTCAGTGGTGTCCCTTAAAAAGCCGTGTCCACCAGGAACCTTGGAATGGAAGCTTATTTGGAAATAGCCTCCCTGCAGACATAATTAGCCAGGACACAGTCATCAGATGAGAACAGGCCTAACCCAATGACCAGCATCCCTATAAGAGGAGTAGAGGGCTCTGAGATGCAGGCAAGGAAGCCATGGACAGCACAGCCAGACCGCACCTGGTGTCTCATAGCCTGGATTTTGGGGCCACCAGAGCTGGGGTCAAGGAACCCCCTCCCGAGCCGTCAGAGGCGCCTGGCCCTGCCGACACCTTGCTGTTGGACTTCCGGCCTCCAGAGCTGTAAGAGAAGCATTTTTGCCCTTTGAAGCCAGAGGTTTGTGGCATTTTCTTACAACTGGACCGGACTGCCGTCCTGGCACTTCAACTCACCCTGCCACCGGCCCACTTCTCAGGGCAGCAGTTCTGGCCTCAGACCCATCTCCTGGCCCTACAAGGGCTCTGCCTTGCCCTCCCTGGTGACAAGCGGCCAGGGACAGCTCAGCGGTGCCCCCTGACCCTCTCAGGGCCTGTGCACGAGGCCCCCACCATACTGGCATCCCAGTGCAACCTGCCCCGGGGTCTCAGGCTGCTTAGAGAAGAGATGGGGTCCTCTCGGAAGCTGGCGTGACCCACTGCCATGTCCCTCTGAGGACAGCCCACCTGGGTCTTCCTTTCTTTTCCAGGGAGGTATTGAGACAGGGTCTCACTGTGTAGCCCAGCAATTCTCCTGCCTCAGCCTTCCATGTGCTGGGAATACTGGCGTGCACCACCACGCCTGGCTAGACCTGGTGTGTTTTAGTCAGGAGTTTTCTCCAGAGATTCACAGAACAGAAAGCTGCCAAACTAGAATCTGGGTCTCGGGGTACAGGTGCTGAGTCTCAGGCTCACCCCAAGAATGAAGAGGCTGCACACGGTGCATTTCATCAAGTGTTTGGCGACTAGCTTCCTCACAGGCCCCTGAAGACCTGAGCCACAATTCTACACCATCCTCTCTCTTTCCTCTCTCCTCAAAAGCTCCGTGGGCATCCAGCCACAACCCGCAGCCCGGGAACCTGGATGCCAGGGAGAGCCAGGTCCTCGCCCATGGAGGAAGCACCCTGAAGAGGGCACAGGGTGGGTGGAGGTGGGAGCCATGTGCCAAGGCTGTTCTGTGTCCTTTCCTGACTCCCCAGACTGCACTGTGAAGCCGTGCACCAAGCAGCTGCACCTGACCCTGGCCCACAAGTTCTACCCCCACCACCAGAGGACGCTGGAGCAGCTGGCCAGAGCCGTCCACCCCAGCCAGCCCTGCCAGTGGATGGCGGCCCTGTTCTCCCGAGACATGCGCTTTGTGCACTACCAGGTGAGGGCCCGGCCTCCCTCCCAGAGCTCTGGGAAGAGAACAGTGGGCCGGCAGGAGAGAGGCCTCCACCCCTTCTCTACACACTTCCCTCTGTTTAGCGCGGAGCCAGCAGGCCTTCATGCATGAGCTTCAGGTGCACTGAAATTTCAAAACAAAACGGAAGTGTTTCTGGTTGTAATAGAAAAGGGCTGTTGTGAAGATGTCTGGATACACGGCTGCTTGCTATTTCCTTTTATGGGGTGATTTGGGTATAGCTCACTCCAGGGCTTCCTCTCCTGTGAAATGATTGGTAGAAAGAAAGCTCAGGGAACTCCTTTCAGACCCAGGGAATAAGTACAGTGGTGCCTTGGTTCACAAACTTAATTCTGGAAAAGACAGCCACGTTCATGTGCATGCGGGAAAGATGGCTGTGGTCATGTTCATCACCGGATGCAGAGCTCTTACACAAAAACAAAACTTTCCCAAGTGCTTCTGCTTGTGGACCAAATTGTTTGCACACAAAAATGTTCATGAACCAAGTGCCACTCTATCTGCTCTGCTCGCTCTGCGAGGAGAAGCTATGTTCACCCCATGCCAAGGAAGGCGGGCATGAATGTGTGGTGGCACCTGAAGGTCTTCTATGTAAGAAAGAAAAGAAGTAAATGGATGGGTGGGTGGGTGGTGAGTGGAAGGATGGACGGATGGATAATGGGTGGATGAGTGCATTGTGGAAGGAAGGAAAGAAGGAAGGATAGAAGACATAGATACAAAATGTATCTCTAAATATACCCAGCGTCCCCTGCTGCAGTAGTTCTGTCCCAGTGTCACTAGACAAAGGCCTGGTGTGGCCTTGGTGAATGCGAATGCAGAGGACTGAGGAAGCGAGTCCCCAGTGTCACACCCTGCTGCTGCGGTTGCATCCTCTAGGAGACACAAAACCACTTGTCTCTTTCCCAGACCCTGCGGGCCCTGTTCCAGTACAAGCCGCAGAACATGGACGAGCTGATGCTCAGCCCCGGAGACTACATCTTCGTGGACCCCACCCAGCAGGAGGAAGCCAGCGAGGGCTGGGTCATCGGGACCTCGCAGCGCACGGGCTGCCGGGGCTTCCTGCCCGAGAACTACACGGAGCGCGCCAGCGAGGCAGACACCTGGACCAAGCACAGGTGAGTGCAGCCCTGGCCTCTGCCCATGGCCCTGGGCACCGCGCACCGGGATGGCGGCCACTTCGAGGTGCATGTCCTGACCCTTCTGTCCCTGAAACAACTATGCCCAGGCTGGCCAAACCACCGAGTGAATATCTCGATCCATGCATGGTTTCCACTGATAACATTCAGGAAATACGGATTGCTTCATATGGCTTTTTTTTGAGGTAGTAAAGCCCAAATTATTACAAAAGACTTCTTCTTTCTCATGAATGCTGGAAATTATCCTCAGAAGTCCTGAGCTTGGGCCCACTGATTCTTTCGCTCAGTGCATAAACTGTCAGGTGTAAGGAGCACTGGTAATTTTCTATTTCACTAGAACAAATTCCCACAAATTCAGCAGCTGAAACAAAATACACTTACCTTCCCAGAATTTTCACAGGCCGGAGGCAGAGCTGGTTAAACCGGGTCCCCCAGGCAGGCTTCATCCTCAGGCTGTCCTTGAGGTGTGCCAAGGGGCCAAGGCTGAGACCCCTCTGAGAGAGGTTCCTGAGCCCACACGGCCGTGGGAGAGTTTCTCTCCTGGAAACTGGATTCTCCTGCAGCTGTCCTCTTCCTGCTCACTGGAGTCTCTTAATTTTAGCATCTGTCAAGGCGTAGGATATTCAAAACCACCAGGACTATTTGCTCTTCATCTCCCCCCCACACACACACACACACAGCAAGAAGCCCATGATGGCTTTCAGTGCTTTGCTTAGAAACATCCTCAGCTACTTAGCCAACTCCGTTGCTTACAACTTCCGGTCCATACAGACATCTGCTCTCAACTCTGCAGCCATACATAGCAGGGTCCCCACCTCCCCACTTCCTACAAGGGACTTCTCACTCCACCTGAGCCCTCCCAGCCACACCTTTAACATCCATACTTCTTTTTCAGTGCTTGAGACTGAACCCAGGGCTTTCCCACTGAGCTACATCCCCCCAATCATTTTTATTTTTTACTTTGAGACAGAGTCTCATTGAGTCTCCAAACTGCCCAGACTTGGCTCAAATTTGCAATCCTCCTGCCTCAGCCTCCCAGAGTGCTGGGATTCCAGATGTGAAATACACGCCTAGCCTTCTGCCCACACCTGGCCTTCAGTGAGCTCTCTGCTCACTATGACCTGGGCTTTCTTTATCATCTGTCTAAAAATTCTTCCAGCCCCCGCCCAGCATCCAGTCCCAAAATTGTCTTCACATTTTAAGTATTTGTTAGGGCAGCCCCACGATCCTGACACCAAACTTAATAAAAGTTTAATTGAAGAAGAACCAGTAATTTTTATACTGTACATATACATTAGAAACACATGTAAATATGATACATATATAGCACTGCAGATACACACATATGTGTACCTCATATGAAATACATGTGACATAACACACAGAGGTTCATGTTTATATTCACACATGTACACATGTGGATTTGTTTTGAGGAACTGCTTTATGCAGTTGCTGAGGCCAGCCAGGCATGCGTATCAGCTAGCAGATCTAAGAGGACTCGGGAAAGGGGGGTCCCATAGGTTTTGCCCATGCAGACAGCTGGTGACAGCTCTAGGTGGGAAGGGGCAGAAACTCGCCCTTTTCAGAGCCGGGTGGCGGACAAGGGACACCCCGGTCTCCAGCAGGGACCTCACACCATTGCCCTGATTCGTGCCCTTGTGTAATGACTCTCCTCAGCCTCCCTTAGGGTTTTGACCCCTACAAATGAAGGAATCCTTGTTGAACACAGCTGTATTAGCAATCTCCCCAATCTAGAGACGTGCAGAGCCAGGCGCTGGACCATTTCTGTGGACACACACTTCCTGGCATGCACACATCCGGGGAACTCTTCCCCGTACCCTGTCCTGTGGAGGGTCTCAAGCCAGGCAAAGCTACTTCCGAAAACGATGCCTTTTTACTTGAATAACCATTGAAAGCCACTTAAAAGTTGCCAGGGAATCTATGCTAAGTCATGAGACTCCCATTTTGAGCAAATTATGAAACAACGTATTCTGAAAAGCTGAAGTAAATGATTGTTTTGGGTCATTTTAACCCTCCCTCAAAAGAAGAGGTGTGAACAGTGCCTAATAGAAACTCTCAGGGAAAATGACTAGATTTTGCAAGAAATCATAGTTAAAAAACAAGAAGTTTGACCAGACGGAGATAAATTGTCGCTCTGCTGAACACCGCCTTCCCTAGTAAACGACAGCGTTAGAGAAATGCGAGTCCGCCCAGCGTGCGGGCCAGGTGACGCTGGCATCTTTCCATTCTGCTCCCTCAGTCCTCAACCTCTGTTCCGCTTTTCGGCGAGCGCTCTTTCTACTGCAGAATGGAGGCTTCACATAAAAGCCAATTCGATCCCGAGAAAGAAAAAAGAAGAGCGAGAGAAATGTTTGCGGACAGTGTTTACAAAGGGCAACCGGTGACCATGCCTGCTGCTCTCCCACCAGGCTCCTCCCTGCTGACTCCGCACAGGCTCAGGAGAGCAGTGCAGGTCAGGGCAGCCTTTGTGCGGTGGGCTCCACTCAAGGAAGGGCCCCCACGCACACCGCTGGTCCCAACTCTGCAGGCAGTCGTCACCGAGGCCATTTAACTTCCTGTCAGGGCCACAAACGCAAACACAGGGAGGGTTAGGCAGCGACAGTCCCAGCCTTCCAAAGTGAGGTCCTGACTCAGAATGACTCAGTTCAAACAGCTTTCACCAGTTTCGGAATGTGTACAATCCCTTCACACCCTGAGCCCGGACCTGTGCCAGGTGCTGGGCCCCACCTTTGCCCTGATCAGTTCATTGCCCTTTGCAACAGCCCCAAAGTGGGCACTGTTATTGCTGCCCACAGCTGAAGAAACTGAGGCACAGGAAGACCAAACAACCTGCCCACCCTCCCGCAGGACTCAGGATTCAGCCCCATCCTAATCCCCAACTGACTGCTCAAACTGCCTATAAAAGCAAACATTCAATTAAAAACTAAGTCAGTGAGCCAGGCGTGGTGATGCATAACTGTAATTCGAGGACTCAGGAGGCTGAGGCAGGAGGATTGCCATGAGTTCAAGGAGAGCCTGGACTACAAAATGTGACCCTTTCTCAAAAAAAAAAATTAGTGAAAAAAAGTATTGCCCGTCCATATAATAACATACTTGGAGCTTTAATGTAACCATGAGGAAATACTTTATACCCTGCTATGAAAAAAATATCCAAGAGGGGGAAGTAGCTCAGTGGTTCCATCCCAGCACTAGGGAAGGAAAAGTAAGAGATCCAAGATTTACTGACAAATGACAAAAACAATTTTCAGGACAGTGTGTGCAGCACAATACTATTTGTGAGGATGGCAGAGGTAAGGAAGTTGTTTGCACACACACGTGCATGGTGTGTGTGTGCACACGCGTGTGCCCTGAGGTCCCCAGTGGGTCAGTGTCTACAAAGCTCTGGCCGGGTGACTAGAGGTCACTGGGGGCTGGAGCTGCCAGTGGGACAGGATAGAGAGGAAACTTCTCACTTCCAGACTTGAAAAAAATCTTTTGGAAATGCATCACTTCTTCAAAATATGAATGAATCCATTTTAAATTTAAAGAAAAGAAAAATGAGGAAATTGGGTCAAAGGAAGAATAAAGATGTCAGACCAAACCAGAGACGAAATTTGTCCGCACCTGACTGCTGGGGGGTCCGGGCCAGAGCTCCCAGCCCTAGGATTGAAAGGGACGTACGTGGCTCTGACAAATGTCACAGCTGCAGGGGGACAGATGCCTGCAGACCGAGGTGCGGAGAAGTGTGAGGGGCTGTGTGTCCAGCTGCGGGTCCAGGGCTGCATCTGAGTCTCAGGCTGCCGGTGTCCGGGATCCAGCACTTGCGAGTTAGGGAGAGAAGCGCTTGTCTGCTGTCACCCTGCCGGGAACTGCTAAGGAGCCAGGAGGACCGGATCCTCCACGAAGGGCCCAGGTGGCTTGGGTGCCTGGGGGCCCCTCATTGGTCACTTGCTGCCCAGGATGGAGAGCTGTGGTCACGAGGACCCGAGATCATCAGGAGGCCCTGGAGGATGAGCGTCTGGCTGCCACAGTCCACCCCACAGCCACTGCGGCCAGCTTTGAGCCTGACCTTTCCGGGATGCCTCTCTCTGGAGAGAAGTTTCTCTGAGGAATTAATAAATATTACCAGAACTTGCAGCAAATGGAAAGAGAGTAAACGCTGGCTTGGAAGCACCTCATCCCCACTTTGGAGTCGCGAGGTCCTGTGATGAGTCCGCTACGTCTCTCCAAACTGCTGGATGCCCCCCTTCAAAGGCTTTGTAAATCAGAAGTAGTCCTCAGAGGTCCAGGCACCAGAGAGCAAAACGGTGGGGATGCGGCCATGAGGCTGGCTCACCTGGCGGACAGGCAGGCGAGCACTCGGGAGTCTGACAAGAGCCCGCTGCGCTGTGGCATTGGCCATGGCGCCCCCGGGTCTGTGCACTGCAAGCTCAGGCAGACGGATGTCCGGCCACAGGGCCCGAGAGAGCACCTGTCCCCAGCCTGACGCCCGAACTGGGCAGCGCCAACCTCAGGACGTGATCCCCAGAGAGGATCTCAGGGACCCATGTGGGATCCAGTGCCCCGTGCAGGAGGCTGGAGGGACAGGGCGGATGCAGAGCCCAGCAGGGGCCGAGGCTGGAGCCCAGGGGCGATCACACCTAGCACTGTCCCCGACACATCCAGCGACCTCCAGATCCACCGAGCGGGGTGGTGGTCGGTAGCTCAGACGTAAGGGGGGCAGTGCCTCTGAGTTGTGTCCCCACAGCCTGAAGTCCTGACCTCAGGGCCTCACAAGAGGACCTTCCTTGGAGTCGGTTTTGTTAATAGGGTAACCTGGGGGCCTGGGCTGGCCCAGATGCAGTCTGTGTCCGCAAAGAGGACATGGAGACAAGGAGAACACGGGGACCCTGGGGGACTGCACAGGAGGGGATGCTGCCCGGGCTGAGGGGGCCCAGCGTGGGCACCACGACCTCGGCCTCAGGCTCCAGGCCGAGGGGCAGCAGTGGCCACTTCCCCCAGGCCGGCGCCGTGACATGGTCCACGGAGTGTACTCGCTGCCTCTAAGGGCCAGGCAGAATGGAGACCCCGCTGTCTCTGTGGGCTGAGTTAAGCCCCAGATGACTCCAGGGGAGGAAAGAGCAGAGATGAGCAGACGTCACCATGCCAGCCCCTCCTCCCTCTGCCACAGCCACAGCCCGGGCTGTACCCCGACCTCGCTGCGCCTCAGAGCCCAGCAAAGCCTTCGGTTTGCTGCTGACTGTGAGCCTCACAGATGTCACTCGCTGATAAGGAGGTTCGCTGTCTGCAGCGGGAGCCATGAGCAGGGCGTGGTGCCTCTCCAGGAGAGGAAACTGGCCGCCGTTTCCTGTGCGAACGTGAGACCTGGCGAAGGGGCCTCCTCCTGCAGTCTGCCATGGGCATCGGGACGTCAGGCCCAGGACGAGCCCCGTGGCCTTGGGCGGCTGCCATGGTCCGCTGGCATCTGAGTGTGAGAATGAAGTCGCCCTTCTCGGCCTGGGCCCCAGCACAATACGTGGGCGAACAAGGAGCCAGCTAAGGCCAGGGTGGTGGGCCTGCCTGTGATCCAGCACTCAGGAGGCTGAGGCAGGGGGAATCCCCAAGTTGAAGTCGGCCCCAGGGCAACTGAGCGAAATCTTGTCTCACAATGTAAAAGGGGTGAAGGGTGTAGCTCAGTGGTAGAGGACTCGCTTGGTGTGCGGGAGGCCCTGAGTTCAAAACACACATGCAAATGAAACAAATAACAACCACAGTGCAGACAATGGATGGCCCAGGCCTGGGCGGACTGAGGGGCGGAAGCCAGTGGAAGGAAGCAGGAGGAGGACTTGGGGACTGGAGACTCTGGGAGATACAGCACGTGGGTAATAAATAAAAGCCCACCTCTGAGGCTGAGGACAGGGAAGCGTGGGAAGGTATCCGTGCCCTTCACGGGCAAAATCCCAGCAGAATCATTCGTTAGAAATCCCCTGGATGAGGCAAAGCTCATCTGGAAGAATAATAGAAGAGATTGGAACATAAAATCACTGAGAGAAGATATTTACCCCGCAGTGAAAGTACATCTTGTGCCCTGCAACCTCCAATCAGGCCAGTTTTAGGTTTCTTTTTATTGATTGATTTTTTTTTTTTTGAGACGCGGTCTCCCTATGTAATTCAGTGTGGCCTTGAACTCACAGTTAGCCCAGACTGGCCCTAAACTCGAAGCAGTCCACCTGCCTCAGCCTCCTGAGTGCTGGGATCACAGTCCTGCACCACCACATCCAGCTTGGTTTTCTGTTTCTTGAATTTACGAACAGTGTTAAGGTTGAGCACTGATGGGTTAGGTGTGCTCCCACAAAGCAAGAGGAAGAGATCATTCGTAGAAAGCAGAAGACCGATGTGTTGGGTGCCAGGACCCCAGTGGCTAGGTTCCAGTCCCCTGCCCAGTATGCGAAGCAGGCCTGAGAAAAAAATACATAGGAGACAGAACCGAGAGAGAGAGAAAGCAGGGCGCCAGGACGACCAATGCTGGTGCAACTGACAGAGGCCCTGGCCAGTCCCAGGCACTGACTTTTATTGGCAATCAGTTGGGGTGAAGGTGACGGGCAGTTTCTATGGAAATGAATGTAAACAAGGCTCATAAGGACAAGACAAAGCATTCTCAAATTAGGAACAGAGTAGACAAAATACACGGTTGTAATAGAACATTGTCCTTCTAGTCTGAAGGTTTCAGTTGTGGGAGTGGAATCTGGCTGCGAGCTGCTCTGACCTCGGCCTTAGGCTTCGGCCGGACTCGCTTCTATAAACAAGGCAACTGTGGGGTTAGCTCCGCACAGCCTGCCTCGGGCGTCATGGATACTGCAGTCCTCTGCAGTTGGGAATCTCAGAGAGCTCTCAGCCTCTGGCCCTGCGGCCCCCAGGGGAGGGAGGCTGGTGGTGGACCCGGGGCTCTCTGTCCCCTGGGACGGTGAGGGCGGCCGGCACCGCTGACGCTTAGGGAAATGGTTCCTCAGAGTTCACCCGTGAGCCTGTTGAGTCCCAGCCGCAAACCTGTGCTCACGCGCATTCCGGTCACACGGGTGGACAGAGGCGAGCAGCACATGTGCCCGCTTGGCCACGGGCCTCTGGTTCTGAGTTCCAGTCCTCCCCTGGCTGGCTCTGCTGCCGCCCTGTGCTGTGGGATGTTCACTGCAGGTCCCCCCACTGCTACCACCGATGCCCTGCTGCACCTCAAACCCCCGACCTGGCCTCCCTCGCTCTCGTGACACCCACACTCCACCACCCGCCCACCAGCCCCGGCCACCACTCCTCTTCCCTGCCCTGGGGAGCCTTCCTAATGCCCAGCCAGGGCCACCCCATGTGGCCGTCACCCTGTGCCTCCTGGCCCTCTGCCCACCGTGGTCCTTCCCACTGCTATCACCTTAACAGTGAAAGCAAAGCCTTTTCTCCATTTCTGACCCATTTCTCTGCTCCCAAGGGTAGCAAATCCCTTTCAGAGCACTGCCAGTGTTCCTGTGCTGCTTTCCTCTCTCAGAAGGCCTTCTCCAGGATCCAGCCCCAGGGCCTTGCCCTGGGAGGGAGCCCGGGGAGTGGGGCCCAGCGTGGTGTCTCCCGCACACCACACCCCTCACCCACCCCGTCGCCCCAGCTCCCAAGGACCACCCAGAGGCACAGCCTGCCCCTCCCTCTCAACCATGCTATTTGCTTTTGCTGAAAGTGGCTCTGATTTTTAAATGATCAAAGTGTGAGCTCGTGAGGGAAATAGGGTAAAATTCGGTGGTTGAGCCGGTAAATGATGGATGCTTTTTCTTTTTACAACTTATTGCATTTTCCATGCTATTAATATCAATCAGAAACCAAAATATCTGAGTCCTAATGGATGGGAGCGGCGGTGCTGGGCTTAGCTGGATCCTAGAGTAAAACACGAGTGGAAATTCGAGGTGGCACCAAGCTCTTCCCGTACCTCACACGGCCCAGACAGCACAGTGACCCTGACCTGGAGGAGCAGGGGCGGCCCTGGGCCAGGGGCTTAGATCCTTTAGAGGAGCACGAAGCTCTTCCCCTCTGTTAGATGACTTCCCACCATCCTCTGCTCCCGGGGTCCTGCTCCTCCTGCACTCTCTGCCGCTCTGCCTGTCCCCTCCAGACACGCTCACGCTGGGACCCGCCAGAACCCCTGCCTGCTCCAGATCCTGGAGTCCTCACCCAGGACCCCGCCCCGGGTCTATCCCTGGAGCTCGCAGTCTGCCCTGTGACGCTGCTTGGTCCCTGGACCAGTGGTGGCTGCCTCGTAACCTGACCTCTTGGGAGCTGCCCGAAGATGATCAGGCACAGACATCCCTGCCCTTAGGGACTTCAGTCTGTTTTCCACTGGGACCCCAGACATGGTGAGGCCTCCCGGCATCTGTCACAGAGGGCCCCTGCTTTGCCCAGCCTACTGATTTGCATGCTTGTCGCATCTAACAGCACCTGACTGACACTCATGGTGTGAGGCCGCAGTGCACACTTGTAGTCTCAGCACCTGGAAGGCTGAGGCAGGAGGACTGGAAATGCAAACCCAGCCTGGGTGATTTAGTGACTTAGCAAGACCCTGTCTCGAAATAAAAACTTGAAATGGTGCTGGGGATGTGGCTCATGTGAAGACCCGGGCTCATCCCCAGGACTGAAATACAACAAATGTTTGCCCAGTCAGCAGGGCACTGTGTCCTGGCCAGGGAGACCATGAAGTTCACCAGCACAGGCGGTGCAAGAAGCAATAAAACGCGCCTGTGACTCACAAGTGCAGTCCCGGGCGCTTCACAGGCGCTGCTTCATTGCACCCTGGGGTCACCTTGTGGGCAGGCATCCTGGACATTCTCAAGCACATCCAGCACCGCCCCCCGCCCCCGTGCTGTGTTTCCATGGCAACAGCAGGTGCATCCGACCTTTCTGTCCTCAGCCCCAGCTTCTCTTCTCCCCTGCAGGACATACACCTTCAGCCTGGCCATGGACCTGAACTCCAGGAAGGACGGCGAAGCCAGTGGCCAGCGGAACGGAGAATTTCACGCTCCAACATCGAGGAGTGTTAGCAGCATCCAGGCCTCGCAGGTAACAGCGCCCCGCTTCTTAGGTACAGTCGGTGAAGCTGTCTTCTGTGAAGACGGGGTGGATGGGGCCCCCTGGGCTTGGCTTGGTACATAGAGAGCCCTCCCTGCTGTCGGGGCAGGCTCGGACTTGGCCAGCATGGGCTGCTTCCCAGCAGGGCTATGGCCCTGGGGGCTACGCCTGGTCCATCCTCTCCTGCAGAGGGGACTCACCTTGCACACAGTCATGGCGCTAGGACCCCACGCAGGGAGGAGGAGACAACACTGCCCGGACTTCTGCATTAAGGACCAAGCCCAGACAGGCTCCCCCGGCAGGGGAAGGGAGAGAGGGGCCTGTGCCAGCCTCGAGGAGCAGGGTTCCCGGGCACAGCAAGGGCACCTTGAGCCTGGCACCCACATGGACACGTCCCGGAGCACAGGGTGCAGGGGGACAGCTGGCCATACCACGTAGTCCCTGAGGCTGTCTGGCATCTGCCTGACCGGAAGTTTGGGCTTCTTTACAAGTAGCCCCTGGGTCCAGCACCAGCAGCTGGCCCTTGGGTGGCTGGCACGTGTGTGGAGAGGCCTGTCCGACCCTGCTGTTCCCAAGTCAGCCCCTCCACACCCGCTGTGTGGCCAGCATTAGGTTAGGCTCTCTTGTCCCAGCTCTGCCACCCACTCATGTCGCAGTCTGCAAGTGGGGCTTACCAAGGAGAGGACCTTGGTGGGGTGCAGGGAGCAGATGTTGGGAGCTTTGGAGGAGCCATGAGGGTGTCACTGCCAGAGGCCAGGGCCACCGCGGTGTGGCTCGTCCCTGAGTCCCAGAGCCAAGACCAGAACTGGCCCATAAATCTCATTTTTGAACAGCACAGTGACCAGATGAAAGCTCCCCTCTTTGAAGGGCTGCATTGTGTCCCCAAAATCCATATACGGAAGCTCTGGCCCCAACCCGTCCAACTGTGACAGCTTTTGGAGACCTGGCTTTTACTGAAGCGAGTGAGGTGAAGTGAGCCCCTTAGCACGGGCCCTCACCCACCCTGGCTGTGTCCCTGGAGGAAAAGACAGGGACAAGGCACACACTGGAAGGGCCCTGTGAGGACACAGGGAGCAGACACCATCTGCCAGCCAAGGACAAAGGCCTCGGGGGAGCCAGGCCTGCTCACAGCGTGGCTGGACCTGCAGACTCTGCTTGTAAGAAAGCAAATGTCTGCTGTCTCCGCTACTGCCGGCCGTGGGACTCCTACTGGAGCCCTAGCCACTCAGCCAGGGGCCTTCCTTGAGGACTGGTTCACCCACAGGGATCCAGTCAGGAGCTGAGCGGGGGACCCTGGGCCCTGGGAAGGTGGCACGAGTACTCTCCAGCCGGGCCTTCAACCAGGTCTAGGAGAACTGACCAGGGAGCCAGGCACCTGCCGGTCACCAGCAGACTGGAAGGAGCCCCTCTTCCCAGGGTGCCCGGCACCAGTGTTACTGTGTGGGGTCCTGGCAGCCGAGAGCAGCAGCAGGGGCAGTGGTTTCATGGGGGAGGAAAGACAGGACCCTCCCCAGGGAGAAGAGCTCCCAGCTCTGGCAGGGCTTGGCATTGGGGGTCTTAGACTTCAGGGTTTGGGGCGGACTGAGGGGTTGGTCTGAGGTGTGGCTCCCACCCTGGGCAGCGGACTCAGCCCCTCCGTGGGGCGGTGGAGCAGGGCTCTCCTCAGAGTGTGCCCTCCCAGGGCAAAGGCCGGGGAGTCAGGAACAGAGGTCCCTCAGGTTCAGCCCGTGTCTACACCGCTGGGGCTTTAAACGGATGAACACAGCACATACACCTCCCGTTAGCTGGGCCTCTCCCTGGTCTGGTTCACCTCTTATGTGCAGCAGGAAAACTGTGGCTGAAATGATGGCCCCACAGACACGAAGCTGTAAGCCCTGGAGCCCTCGGATATGTCCTGACAAGGACTAGGGTCTTTGCAGAAGCCTTGGAGTTAGGGACCTGGAGAGAGAGGTAGTCCTGGGTGGTCCAGAGGGGCCTTAGAGGTCACAATGACCTTACAAGAGAGACCAGAGAGACACACGGAGGAGGTGGCCACGTGTGGACAGACTGGCATGAGGCAGTCATGGGCTGAGGGACACCTGGAGGACGGAGACTCCACTTCAAGGAGGTTAGGTTTGTATCTTGGCTCACGACTTCAGAGGTTCAGTCCATGGCATGGCCTGGTGATTCCATGGCTCTGGGCCTTTCCTGAGGAAGAACAAGATGGCGGAGGCTAAGAGGAGGAAAGCTGCTCACCTCATGGCAGCCAGGAAGTGGAGAGGACGAGAAGGCCAGACAAGAAGGAGCCTGGGACCAGCTATAATCCCCAAGATCACCCTCCCATGACACCCACCCCCTTCAGCTAGTCCTCACCTCTTCTTTCTACCAACTCCCAATAATACCATCAAATTAAGATCCCCCTGCCCACAGTACTGGAGATTGAACCCAGGGCCTTTGCACTGTTTCCAGCCCTTTATTTTTCATTTTGAGTCAGGATCTCCTTTCATCACTAAGTTGCCCACCAAGTTGCTGAGTTCGAATTCACAATCCTCCTGCCTCAGCCTCCCAGAGCACTGGGATCGCAGGCATGCCAGTTATGATCTCACCAGTGGATTAATCCACTGCTCAAGTTACAGCTTTCATGATCCAATCCATTCCCCAGAGCCCATCAGCACCCACGCCGTTAACACAGGAGAGTTTTGGGAGAACGCACTGGACTCCCTCCTTAACGGAGCCTCTGTGGGGACCCCAGCCCTGCTGACCTCGGCTTTGGATATCTGGCCTGCGAACTGTGGGAGGAAATATTCCTATTACTGTGTGTCCCCAGTTTGGGGTGCCTTGGTACAGAGCCCCAGGACATGAACACAGCCCTTTAGCCCCAGAGAGCTGGTTTGGCCCCACCTCGCTCCACAGACTCTAGAGCAGCGATGGGGAAGCATTCAGAGCTTTCAGGGATGCCATCAGCCCACCGTAGCATGGGTGCCAGAGGTTCACCACCACTGCTCTAGACTAACCAGCACTGCCAACACAGCACTGCTGCTAGGCAGGCTGAGTCCTGGGCCCCTGCAGGGCATGGGGCATGCCAGCTCCTTGTAGATCGGATTGCGGGGACAGGAAATGCTAGTGCATCTTCTCAAGGGGCGACGTGTCAGGATGGGTGAGCCCCGCACAACCGCGCCTTGCAATGGGAAGACAGCAAGGCAAGGGTCCCCTCAGAGCTGTGCCCTGGGCACCCACAATATTCACCAGAGACATGGCCGCAATACTCACCAGCCCTGCTCAAAGCTCAAGCCCTCAGAAAGTGCACGCATGCAGACTCAAAGCGTCCTCCGTGCTCACAGACATCAGGACTTCTGCACCTGCTGCAGGTAGTCTGAGTCACCTAGAAGTCTGGTCCCGGAGCAGCTAGAATGGCATTTGTCCAGCTCGGCCTGGAGTCTGGAGGCCTCGAGAGCTGTCCGTGGTGCTGAGCCCAGGAGCGCAGGGAGCCCGTACACCTTCTCTGCTCTGTTCTCTGGGCCTCTCCTTTCCATCAATCCTTTCCAGCTGCTTTCCAACCTGGGGGACACTAGGGAGGGCTCTGCCTGCTGCTCCATTTCTGTCCACAGAACCAAGAGCCAACTGGTGTGATCCGCAGCCTGACTGGGTGGTAAATCGGCTGCTCTTGGGGGAAGGGGCCTGCTGGAGGCTGAAGGCACTGCATTTTCGCTTTGGGACTTAGGATCAGTCAGAAAGCAGTGGGAGGCTGCTGCAGGGGGTTATGCTGAGGAAGAGTACGTCTCCTCAGCTCTGCACCTGCTCGGCAGCAAGATGCCCCAAACCTTAGCCCTCACGTTTGATTCCCGGAGCTGTGTTGCCAAAGCTAGAACAGAGGAGGGGAATGGACACTGGGCTGCTCCCTGTGAGGCCACCCTGCCCTGCTCATCCTGACGACCTCGGCTGGAGCATGGCCAAGTCCTGTCCTCCCCAGGAGCTCCCCGACGCCTCCAGTGGTGGGCACTGTCCATTCTGTCCTGGTCCTCTCCACGAAGCATCTTTCTGTGTTTTTCCCTCACCTCTGAGGAGGTCTTTGGCTCCTGAGGGAGAGCCGTGGCTGCCACGTGGCCCCAATCTGTCATCTCTCTCCTGGAGCTGTCATGGGGACAGCAATGGCCTGAGTCTCCTGGGCAGTATCAGGGGGCCTGTGTTGAGGTGGGGGTCCCCACTTGGCCCCCAGATGTCTGGGCCTGGGGCTGGGAGGTCAGTGTGGGTGACATTGGTGGCCCTGTGGTGCCCTGCAGGGTGACAGTGGGTCCCCGTGCCTCCCCTGAGGGTGCCAGCCTGTACCTAAGGCTTCTGCAGCAAGCAGCTGTCCTGGTGTCCTCTGGCTATCTCAGTCTTCAGTGCCCTCATCTCTGGCAAACCCACCCTCAGGCTGAGGAGAAATAGACCACAGCCAGCCCTCCCATCCACACCTTCTGTACCCATCAAGCCAAACCAGTGTGGATTGAAAAGATGCAAAAAACTCCACCTTGTGGCAGTCACCCTTCCATTGCTGTGACAAAATGCCTGAGATAATCAACTTTAAAAGGAAAAAAGTGTGCACCAGATCATGGTTTTAGAAATCTGAGGCCAGCAGATTGTTTGGCTGGGTTTCTCTGAGTCTATGGTGGCAGAGGACACCGTGGTGACAGCCAGGAATCCCAGGAAGAGAAAGATGTGGGGGAGGAGAGGAGAGGAAGGGCAGGTCCTCTGGCCCCTTCAAGGCCACGCCCCCAGTGACCTCACTTCCTCCCACAGGCTCCTCCCTCCTAAAGGCTCTGTCCCCTCCCAGGAGCACCCCAGGCTGGGGACCAAGCGTTCAGCACATGACCTTTGGGACATTCAGGATCCAGACCCTGGCACACCTGTACTGGCATGAGGGGCTTTGTTCTTGTCACTGTTCCCTGAACAATGCAGGGCAACAACCATTTATATAGAGTGCACAAAGAGTTAGGTGTAACAAGTCAACTAGAGGGGGTCTGAAGCAGAAGAGGGGGTGTGTGGTGCTGTGCCAAGCTGTTTCATGTCAGGGGCAGTCCTGGAAGAGGAAGACCGTGCATAAAAGAGACAAAAGTTGGTGCATACATGGCTGGGCAGGGAGGCAGGAGCATACACTGAGGACACAAGGGCAGAGGGAGGCCTGCAGTAGGACGTCTCTGTGGAGGTGCGCAGACTGGGAAGCGAGCAGTTGCCGGGTGACGGTGTGAGCCACTTCCCTTTTGTGTTCCGAGTGTCTGGCTCCCGGTCCTGGTCACTGTAGTGGCTGGGTCACGGTGGCCCATCTCCAGGCCAGCTGCCCACGACGCGGAGGCCGGGCGAGCCTGATTCATCCCGAAGTGGCTCCGCTTCCCGCAGGCCAGGGTCGCGATGGCGAGGAGGAGCGTGCTGGTGGTGCGCCACGGGGAGCGAGTGGACCGGGTGTTCGGGAAGAGCTGGCTGCAGCAGTGCTCCACGCTGGACGGTAGGCGGGGCGGGCTGTGGTGAGCCAGAGCCGCAGGTCCCAGAACGAGGGCTCGGCTCCAGGTCTGAGGGGCCCTCGACCCTGCGGGCTCCACCCTCTAGAATGGCCGCGGCCCTGTGGCTGCTGGACCACAGGAGCGTCGGGATCCTGGGGAGGCACTCGGGGACTGCCACGAGGCTGCAGGACAGGGCCTCGTGGTCCCTGGGGCTGTGCATTGGAGGAGGCGCGTCCTGCAAGGCAGAGCAGCCTCAGCTCTCCGGGCCCAGCCCACGCCCCGCAGCACGTCCCAGACACCGCGCTGGGGATCTCGTCTCGGGGAGCGTGGTGGGGCCCACGTGCCGGGGTGTCTGACGCTCACCTCTGCTTTAGGGAAATACTACAGGCCAGATCTGAACTTTCCCCGCTGTCTGCCCAGCCGGAGCGGCGGACTCAAGGATTTTGAGCACGACCCGCCCTTATCGTCCTGTGGAACTTTCCAGGCCAGACTCGCAGGTCTGTGGGGCCATCTAGCGGCAAGGGACAGGGACCGCGGTTTTCTGGGGGAGCCACCTGTCCTTTGCCTTCCTGTGAGCGCTCGGGCCACAGAGATGCTCCCGAGGTCAGACCAGCAGGAAACGGAAGTGCAGAGGTTTGCTCCAGGAACTGGTGGTTGAGAAAGTGGAGAGGAGGAGAAAAATCCGCAGCCCCTGTGTGTGCACCCTGGGTGCTGCCGCTGCCTGCACGCGTGCGCCTCCCTGCGGGAGCCTCTGCAGCCCAACTTTGTGCCTCAATGCCACGGAGATGCTCGCACCCCTCCCGCCGGGAGCATCTGGGGCCCCTGGGAAAGGTCGCACGCTTCATCCGTGGCCTGGGGCTTCTGTAACAGAGCAGCACCGAGGACGACAGCCATCATCACTGGCGGCTCTGGAGGCTGGCGGCCCCTGACCAAGCTGGCACGAGGCTGACTCCTCAGGGGCTGGGAGGGAAAATCGGGCCCAGCCCCCTCTCCGTGGCCTGGAGACAGCATCTTCTCCGGGTGTCTTCACACTGTCTTCTGTATCTGTCTCGTATAGAAATTTCCACTTTCTGAAAGGCATCCGTGGCCCTGGTGTGGTGGCCCACGCCTGTAATCCCAGTACTCGGGAGGCTGAGGCAGAAGGATTGCCATGAGTTCGAGGCCAGCCTGGAATACGTAGTGAGTTCAAGACCAGGCTGAACTACATAGCGAGATCTTGTCTCACAAAATCAAAATAAATAGTCACCAGTTATATTAGAGCCCACCCTCATTTTAATTTGATTACAGGCGTCCCTTGGTATCCTTGATGGGCCGGTTTCCCCTGGGACACTCAGTGTTCAGATGCTCAAAAGCCCGTCAGGAAAATGGCAGCGCATTTGCCCCTCTCTATACACCAGCACAGGTTGATGTTACAGACTCGACACACCCAGTCCGCTATGTGAAGGGCTTGTTATACCCTGTGGTTTAGGGAATGACAAGGAAAAAGCCTCTTTGTGTTCAGCACAGAATCCATTTGTATCAAACACTTTTGATCGAGTATTGAATTCTTGGATGTAGGAGGCCAATTGTACCCTAAAACTCTGTTTCCAAACTAGCATACATCTGCAGGTGCAGGGGTTAGGACTCCGGCAGATCTGGTTTTGGGGTGGGGGCAAAATTCAGCCCACAGCAGGCTCCCCTGAACCTCGCCAGCTTCTGCGGGGTGTGGCTCTTGTACTGCAGAAACACCCTCTTCCCCCACAGCAAGGCTTCTGATGCCACAGGAAATGTGCTCGGTTTGCCGCTTGGTGCTCCATGAGCCTCAGCTGGCCTGGAGTTCTCTGTCCCCGCTGCTGACAAAGTCCCACACACAAAGCAGTGCCCAGGAGCTCAGCACATCAGGCTGGGCAGGGCAGGGCGGGTTCCCTGGCCAGGGTGCCAGGCCCCAGATCTGGGGATCAGCTAGTGGAGCCCCGTGAGGAGAGCCCAGGACCCCCAGTGCACCCAGACCCTCCTGGCAGGACGCCGGGCCCCTCCTTACTGGCTCCTGAGGTCACCACGTGGGCCCCTCCATCTTTCAAGACGGCGATGGAGACCTTCTCGCATGCCAAATGCCTCCTACTTCTGATCCCTCCAGATCCTTTCCTGGAGGAAATCTCTGCTCCTCATGTATCCACCTGGCTCAGCCAGGGCCCAGGGTCATCACCCTGTGCCCTGTAGCATCTCTATGCTCACGGCACCTGGCGCTCATGGCACAAGCCCACCTGCCCTCAAGGCAGAAGTCTGGGAACCTCTGGGGCCCCTGCCTGCCACAAGGAGCAAGGACCTGTCTAGGGCTGAATCACCAGGGTGTTTCCCGCTTGCTGTTTTCCAGGGGACTCGCTCCTGGACAGTGGCATCAGGATCATGGCCGTCTTCTCCTCACCGGCCCTCGGCTGTGTGCAGACGGCCAAGCACATCCTGGAAGGTCAGTGGGACTCTCCCGACCCTGGGCCGTGACCTCCGGGCTGTTCTCCGCCGGGGGAGGGGGGACGAGGGGACCCAGACAACGGCCCACACCAGTTAGGACCCAGCCTGCAGGAGCCACTGGCAGGAGCAGTAGGAGCGGGCTGAGGGCAGGGCCTGACACGCTGCTCACCTGCGGCTACTCTGCCTGGTGTCTAAACACCCGGAAAGGGGCCTTCAAAACTCAAGAGAGCTAGGAGCTCAGGTCCTGCCTAGACCCAAATGCAGGACTCTCCCCGAGGGCCCACGACAGGAGCTGTCCAGTGTCCTCCAGGCTGGGGTGTGGTGGAGGCTGGGGGCTTTAGAGGATCCACCTGTGGGAAGGGAGTGTGCTGGCATTGGGAGCCAGGTACAGCAGCTGGGAGCGAGGGGGAGGCTGGTGCAGGACTGGAGAGCTCAGAGCGGGTGACTCAGGGGTCAGGGAGAGGGGCCAGGGAATGGATGGGGTGGAGAATGCCCGGAAGGGACCCTGGGAGCCCACCTCTGGGTGCCTGGCAGGAGCTGCGACAGAGCTGGGTGGCTGGACTCTGGGTCTCCTGCAGCCAGCAGGACAGGGAGCAGGTGGGGGAGTGGACCTAAAGGAGGCCGAGAGGGGTCTGAGTGCCGGGGAGAGAGAGGGGCCTTTGGGGACTGAGGTGTATGCAGGGGTAACAGTGACTGCAGAGTCTAAGCAGGGATGGGGATTCATTGTGGGAGGCTGAGGCAGGAGAATCACAAGTTCACCCAGCCTGGGCAACTTAGCAAGACTGTCTCAAAATAAAAAACAAAAACACAAAAAGGCCTGGGGAGGGAGCTCAGTTCAAAGGCTCTGGGTTCCAGTACCTCAAATGGAAGAAGAAAAGTAAAAGAACAATGCCAGCTTTTAAATCCACCAGGCGAGGACCAGTGAGCCCCAAATACGTGACATTCAGAGCAGCCCGCTGGGCGGTGTGGCCTGCCATGAAGCAGACTTGCAAACTCCCATCCTTGGCTGGAGGGGACAAGGACAGCAAAGTTAGAAACCTGATCCAACATCTGCACAACCCTGCTGAGGTTTGTCTTGAGGATAACCCTTAACACGGTAATGGATGGAGTAACACACACTACCCAGGAAGTAACTACCCCTGGGATCTTAGGGTCAGTATGTTCACAGTTATCCCAACAACTAGAGTAATAAGGTATGACCAAGGCAAAAAACATACACAAATATATAAGAAAAGGTGACAGACCCATGCCTCAGTTTCCTGTCTTCTATCCCTGGCCCTGCTCTGGCCTCACATACCTTGCAATGTGCCGAGATTTTGTTTTTCTTAGTTACTGGGGATTGAACCCAGGGCCTTCCCAGCAAGTTACACTCTCAGCCCTTTATGTACTTTCTATCTTGAGACAGGGACTCACTGAATCATCCAGGCTGGGTTCAGACTTGTGACCCTCCTGCCTCAGCCTCCCGAAGTGCTAGAATTAAAGGTGCAGACCACCACACCTGACTTATTGAGCATTTTCCCTGGTCCATAAGATGTGGTTTTCCGCCACCCTCCAAAATTAGTTTGATTTCTGTCTCCTCTGGCTCCGCACTGCCGAGCCGGGCGGGGCGGGGAGGGCAGTGCTGTGGCCAGCTGCATGCACACCTGGGACTTCCCTCCCTGGCCTTCGTGTCCTACACTGCCGGCTTCTTTACCCGTGATGACCTTGACCACCACCTTTTCCTGGCAGGACAACGTGCACAGAAAGACAGAGGCTGCTGTTGGGGCCAGCCTGTGTGATAAAAAAGTATGACTGAGAGCTCTGAAAATGTTTTTCATAACGTTACTGTCTTGGTCCCAGTTCCTGGTTCTTAACATCTGTGTGCCAATTTGGGGACTCTTGTTTACCTTGTCTTACTTGGGTCTCCTGCACACAAAACAGAAAGTTCTCAAAAATGCCGTCCACCGTGCTGATGCCAGCGTGTTTAACACGGTCTCACCCCGGACTAGCTTTATATCCAGAGCGCCGTTATTACTATTATGGCCCAGAAGGACATAGGTGTATAAATCTCAGGTTAACTCTGGACAGCAAGGATGGCTGGGCTCCCGCCAAGTCCAGCTGCTTCTCAGACTCGCCGGAGAGGCCATTGCTCCTGGGCCTTCTGTAGGTCAGGGCCAGTGCGTGGACCATTCACCAAAGCGCCTCACTGGCCGGTGGCCTTCAAGGTGTCCTACACAGGAGGCCTGAGGCCACACTGCAAGCCCCAGACCCTCCTGGAACATCTGAGCACGGCGGATGTGGCCCTGGGCAGGTTGGAGCAAGGAGCCTTCTCAAGTTGGGATCTCTTGTCCAAGTGTGCTCTGGGCAGGAACCTGTTCTGTGGACTTAGGACACATTTGGGGGACACATTTTATTTCCAACCATTGCATTTAATGACATTTTCTACATTTCAAATAAAAACACGAAGGTCTTTTTTTCAGCTCAAAAAGAGACGCCCTTCCCCATAGGTCCTGCAGTCAGGATAGCAAATGCTTGGGACTGTTGAGGATGACAGCTCCCTTCCTCCTTCAGTGCTTGCAGAGGCCCGGCTTAGGCGACTGGGGAGGCTCCCTGACGCCCGCTGTGATGGTCCTGACCCCCAGAGGGTGGGCCCTCGGGTGACAGTTTAGCTGTCGGGTTGTAATGGGGGTCAGGATGAGCCCCAGCCCCGGAGATGTCCGCTCAGGACAGACAGAATGCCCCGCCTCTCGTGGCCCTGCTGGTCCCAGAAATGGCACGGCTGTGCTTAATGCCCTGCCAGTATTCACGGTGTTTGAAAGATATTATTTAGATCTGTGCATAGGTCAGATCTAGCTGGGAAGAGACATGTTTATATGACCACGATAAACACTTGCGTTCACTCCAATCCAGAACTCAAACTGGAGAAGACAATGAAGATAAGAATAGAACCCGGGACCTTCGAGTGGACCCAATGGGAAGCCAGCGAAGCCAGCCCGAGCTTCATGACCTTGGCAGAGCTGAGAGAGGCCGGATTCAATGTGGACCCTGGCTACAGGTAGCGCCCTCAGGTCTCCACCTTTCTCCTTCTTCTTCAAGAAAATGTGTGCTGCTTTCAGAAGATGGGAGGGAGACGGGACAGAGAGGGAGGGACGTGGGGGGCAGGGGCCGGGAAACCCAGGAGGGTGGGAACTCTGCAGCCGCACGACCTACGAGGACGGTGCAGACCCCAGGCCGGGGCTGGCGGGGGCCAGGCTTGGAGGAGCCTGGGCCAGGTGGCTCAGGAGCACATCTGAGTCCTGGCTCAGTGCTGCTGGGCTCCATCCAGACCCAGGCTGGGGCTGAAGCGGGACGGTCGGTCGGGATGAAGTTTCTCCTTCCCAGCCGCCCCAGCCCCAGCCCCAGCCCCAGTCCCCACTGTCCAGGGAGCCAGGGCACAGCCACCCTCCTCTTTCCAGGCCTGCATTCCCCCTCTGCTCCCTCCTGCCGGCCGAGAGCTACACCCAGTACGCGGACCGCTGTGCGCGGAGCATGGAGCGGGTCCTGGGCGCCTGCCCCCCAGAGTGTAAGTCCCGCGTCCTCCGGTGGAGCGGCCTCCGGCTTGGGGTCACCTCTGGGGTGGGAGTTGGCCCAATGTTCCGGCCCCACTTTCCAGCCAGCTGAGGCTCCTGCCCCTGGGGCCGCAGAGCTGGGAGTGCAATTCTGGGGCCTGGGCGACAGTCCCCTCTGCACCCCATCTCTGCCCACAGCACTCAGACAATGGCAACAGAGAGGGCTCAGATCACCCCTTACTCCATCCCCAGCCTGGTGGCCAGGGGCTGCACCCCACACCCTACGTGGAGAGGGGGTGCCTCTGAAAAAGAACACACAAAAGCCAGGGTGAGGGACACGCTATCTGCCGCCAGCCACACCTGGCTCCTGCCATGGGCCTCTCAAGGCAGCTCCACCCCCATAACTTAGGGGGCTGATGAAAGAGGTGCTCTGCCTTGTAACCCCAGCACTCTGGGAGGCCGAGCCAGGAGGATTGTAAGTTCAAGCCCAGCCTGGGCAATTTGATGACCTTAGCTGGACTCTGTCTCAAGATAAAAGATAAAAAGGGCTGGGATGCAGCTCAAAGGCCCCAGGCTCCAGCTGGTCGAGTTGACCTGGAGGTGTTTTGTCCACAGCGGGCACCATCCTCATCGTGAGCCATGGCTCCGCCCTGGACTCCTGCACCCGGCCACTCCTCGGGCTCCCGCCCCGGGACTGCGGAGCCTTCGCCCAGCTGGTGAGAAAGGTGCGTTGGTCCTCACATCTCTGGGGCCCTCGGTCAACTGCATAGAGGCACAGGGCTGTCAGTCGCTCCTGGAGTGCACGCTGGTGTCCAGCCACCCTGGGCCAGCAACCCCCAGCCTTGGCGGGTGTGGACCCCTGCCACTGTGCAGAGGGCAGCCCTGGCAGGGCTGAGGGACTGGCCTATCACCCTCATCTGCACCACAGCATCGGGCTTGGCTCTTCCTCTGGGGACAGGCAGGGGCCTGGGGGGGGGGCCCTGGGGGGACAGAAGGGACCTCCCACCTGCTGTGTTACATCCCAGACTGTTGGTGCCATCCGCCAGCCTGGGTGCTAAGCCCTGTGGGTGTGAACGTCTAATGACAGCAATGAAGATGGCGTAGATTTCGGACCATGCTGGCATGGCTGTGTTGAACAACCCAGCTGACCAGGGAATGGTGGCAGGAAGCTCGGGTCACCCCACCTCGCCTGGAGGGCCTCTCCAGGCTGGGCTTGTCCAGGGATCTTATCGCATCGAGCTGTCTGTGGGCCAGTAGCACCTCACCCTTTGTTCCCCAGGGCCCCATTCCCATGGCTGGCAGCAGGGACAGAGGTCTTGATTGGCCTTGATTACAAGACTAAGGTGGCCTGGGAGGGTCACATGCCTGCGAGGCCCAGGAACGCCTGCCAGCTGGCTTTACAACTGACTAGTCCCAAACCGAGCCACTTTGGAGAAACTGGTAAGGGACTTCCCCCTCTGTTCCAGATCCCCGCCCTGGGCATGTGCTTCTGTGAAGAAAACAGAGAGGAAGGGAAGTGGGAGTTGGCCAGCCCACCCGCGAGGACTCTTACACATGGGGCCAATGCGGCATTCAGCTGGAGGAACTGGATCCCGGAGAGCTGAGCCCGTCCCAGGAGGGGCTGACGTTCCTGCCTCGGCTGTGGACCCAGCTGCGCCGTGGGGACACAGAACAGGCGGCAGGGCAGGCGTCACACGGAGACGGCGACGTGGGTACTGAGACCTGCGACAAGAGGCCCAGCCGCGGCCTGGAGGGAGATGAGGACCCAGGAGCCTGGCTTTCAGGAGCGGACGCCCCGTGGACGCACACGCGAGAAGCGTCTGTCCACCTCCGGGTGCTGACTGTCGAGGCCCCAGTCGTTTGTCCCTCTTCTGTTTCAGTCAACACCGAGTTGGGAGGCACTGTACGCCACTGCTGGTCAGAACCCAGAGCCACGGCATCACTGCTCCTGCAACCCGGTCACCAGCCACAGAGGACTCGCGCACTCTCGGAGGCCAGGAGCCCTAGGGCGGGGGCAGGTGGTGGCCCCACCCAGGATCTGGCCAGAGCCCTTTCCTGGCTGCTCCTAACGTTGCAAGGCGCCTGCAATTGCTGGCTCGCAGCCCCTGCACCATCCAGGCCAGCAGCACAGCGACCTCCGCCCTCTGGATTCCTCTCCCGCTGTCCTCTCACATCGCCTCCAGCCTCCCTCGCCCAAGGACCCTCGTGGTGACAGAAATCCAGGGTCCTCACTCATCTCTAGTTCCTTAATGCCACGTGAAGGTCCCTTTCATGTGGTGGCACATGCACCTGTCATCCCAGCACCCTGGGACGTTGAAGCAGGAGGATCACAAGTTTGAGCATTTCTTGGGCAACTTAGTGACTTCGACCTTGTCTCAGAAAAATAAAACAGCTTTTTAAAAAGGGCTGAGGGTGTAGCTCACTGTGAAAGCCTTGGGTTCGATCCAAAAAAAAGAAAAGGCAAAAAATAAAGAAAGAAAGAAAAATTTAAAAAAAGAAAAGGCAGAAAGATGAAAGAAAGAAAGAAAGAGAGAGAGAGAGAGAAAGACCCTTTTGCCACGGAGGTCACAGTGCGGTCCTAGGGCTTGGGGCTCCCCTGGGGCCCCTCCACAACTCTCCCTTCTCTGCTCCCCCAGGGCTAAGTGTGAGGATTGCAGACACCCTGGCTTTGTGAAGCTCCTTTCCAGCTGCCCATCTTCTCACTCAGATCCAGGGGGGGTGGGGAGACTGCAGACAGGAGCAGAGGGAATCAAGACAAGGCAAGGGCGTGGAGGTGTGACCCCAGCCATGCCTCTGGCTTGGAAGAAGCTGGTCCAGCAGAGGACGGGGGCTCCCTGTGGTGTCCTCCCATCCCCAGAGGCCACTCCTGTCCCCATGGTCCATGCATGGCCCCGGCACCATCACAGAGCAAGGCAGGCAGAACCTGCTCCCAGCGTGTGCTGTGACAGGGTGGCCCTGGTGGCCAGAGGTGACTCTGCACATGCCCAGCAGGTCCTGACTGCAAAATGTGGGGCCCTCAGAGTCTGGGGGATGCGCAGCCTCCCCTGTGTGAGCATGCCCTGCTGGAGCCCTGACAGCCCTTCTCTGTGCTTTATTCAGCTTGAGGTTCCCAGGCCAGTCCAGTGGGTTCTTCCTGCGGCTCTCCTGTCCCAGAAGCCCTGTGCTCCCCATGTGCAGGTCAGCTGGCTGCAGGCTGGAGACCTGGCCTCAGCCCGCCTGTCACCAGGGGCTGCCACGAGGGGCTGGCCGGACTCTGTCTCTCACGTGGGCACCGGGAACAGCGCAGTCTCGGGGAGGCCTCTCCTGCTCTCCCCTCCTGCCTTCGCAGCAGAGGAGGACACAAAGCCCCTGCCAGATGCCGCTTCCCGCTCAGGCTGCAGCCCCAGACCCAGGAGCCTCACACCTAGGAGGTGGGGACGCCGGGGGAGCCAGTGCACCTGGGGCGTCAGGCGGAGGGGTGCAGCTCTCTGTTCTCTGTCTCCTCATGGGAGGTCCGGGGACAGCCCTGCTTCTGCGGGCCGTGGGGTCTCAGTCGCTCCAGGCTACTGGGACTGGCTCCGCAGGATGGTGGCACAAATGGCCATCGTTTCTTCTCTCTCTTTTTTTTTTTTTTTTTGATACCAGGGATCAAACTCAGGACCTTGTGCCTTCGAGGTGCGGTTGCAGCTGAGCTACATCCTGGCCCTCTCTCTGTTTAACAGCCAGGAGTCTGAGGTCCGGGCCGGCTCGGCTGGACTCTGGGTGTGGGCTCCTCATCAGGCACAGAAAGCGATAGGGGTCTCAGGTCCCCTTCCTTAGGGTGCTAATCCTGGGTGCAAGGGCCGGCTTTCCCAAGCCCCCTTCCAGGCCATAGGTCTGTCCGTCAGTCCTCTGACCAACCCCACTTGGCCTTGCTTACTGTAACCCTAAAGCGAACGTGGAAGTTCAGTAATGTGCGTCCTTCAAAATCACTCCCAACGAAAGGCCAGAAGACAGGACAAGGTTCATAGACACCCTGAATATACAGACTCCCCAAGGTTTACCATGCAGTCTGAGGGGCCTCTGGAGGACAGGTCCTCAGCCGGGGACTGGAATCCAACCCTGTCTCTTAGAAGCAGGACCTAGGACCCTTTGTTCAGGCCACGGTCCCCGTGGGCAGGGACCCGAAGCTGCGTGAGCGTCCTGCAGGCCCCGAGCTGCCATAGCACTGCTGTCCAGAGCCTGAGCTGGTCACAGCCATGTCCCTCACAGGGTCCTTCTGGACCAAGATGCCCACACCATGGGCAGGCGAGACCCGGAGCAATCTCTGGGTTGTACCTTCAAGCGCTGGTGGGGCACACGCCTCACAAGCCTCCTGCAGGGGAGGACGGGATGTAACAACCCGTCAGCATTCTCACAGACACTGCACCAGCAAACGCCGCAGGGACAGAGCAGGAACCAAGCAGGACAGGGCCCCACAGGGCAGGGGAGGCCCCGGGGGACAGGGGTGGAAGCGGGGCTCTGGAGCAGACCTTTAGTAGGGGTTCACCTTTGACCACACAAGCAACTGACCCACTCAGAAAATAAAACTAAGCCAAAAGGACGGACAGCAAGCCTGCCATGAGGCTGCAGACTGACCAGGCCGACCGACCACCGTGTGACCCCGCTGCACCCTCCCCATGCAGACAAAACCTCCCCAGGCACATGCTTCTCCTGAAGCTCCGGTGCTGACCGCTTGGTAGTGGCTGCTGTTCAGAGTTCAACAATGGAGGATGCGGGATTGATTGGCAATGCCTGCTGTGGGCACAAGGGACCAGGTGAGGGCCTTGGCCCTGCACGCCTCAGTTTTCCCACCTGTCAGCACTGCTCCCACCTCCCAGGGCTGTGCTGAGATGGTGACCTGGTGACTCTGAGGTGCCCTGCGGGGCAGGTGGAGCACAGGAATTTCCATCTGCCCCAGGCTCTCCCAACAGTTTCTTGCCTTGAAGCTCAGAGGCTTCTGGAAAACCACAGCCCCGGAGTCAGAAAAAACCCATGTATTCCTTCACAGAGTGTACTTATGTATTCATTCAACAAACCCCCAGTGACATTCCTCCCTGTGGGGGCCTCACGTTGAGGGATGAGGTTGGCGGGTGGGGAGGTGAGGCTGGGACCCAGGCCCCAGTGGTGGAGTGACGTCTTTGGAGCCACATTTCTGTCAGTGCCCATGGGAGTCCCTAGCATGTAGGTGTATGGTGATGTAGCACACACGCAGCGGAGGTCACGCCTGCCGCAGCGCCCCCTGGCGGCGGGGCGCGCCGTCTCCCGCCTGCCCCGCAGTTCCGGCCTCAGACTGCGGGCTCCCGCAGCGGCTGGCTGCCTCCCCGAGGCCCCTCCGCGTGTCCCCAGCCTCCCGGGGCGGGGCGAGGGAGGTCGCGCGGTGCAAGGGCTGCTCTGCCCCACGCAGTGACCCGGCCTCCCGGGGCGTAAGCGTCGCCCTCCACGCCCTCTCCTTGCCTGAAATCCTGTGTTTATGGGACCACACCTGTGCGGGGCTCGGGTCCACTTCCTGTGCTGCACGTGGGAGGGCAGGGAAGCAACATGGGAACCTTGTCCCCCACCTCGGCCATCGTCACTAAGACACAGTCCCTGCCTCCCCTCACAGGCCCGGCTCGGGCCCCTGCCCCTGAGGGCGGACACCCAGAAGGACGCCTCTGTGGAAGCCACACCGCGAGTGTCGCAGGCCCCCAAGGCTGGGATCTCTTCTGGGGGAGCCCTCCCACCCGGATGCCAGGCAGCTGCGGAAACTGCACTCCATCGGGGTCCCAGCAGGGGCACGGCCAGGAGTGTGGGGTCCCGCCCTTTCCATGGCCCCGTTGGAACCGGAGACAGAGGCCGGAAAGTTGACTTTAGGAACGTATTTGTCTTTAACTGGATATATGCAAAACATCACATCAACACGTCGTAACAATATAAAAACTTAGTAAGGACACTGTTGGGCTGTGAGCCTTTGCCAGCCAGGGTACTTGTTGGCCAGACTGGCCATGCTCCCGGGCAGCCCGTGGGGTGCAGCCTCGTCCTGCCCAGAACCCACTGTGCCACTGTGCCAAGCGCAACTTTACACTGAAAAACGGATGGGAGTCAGCTCGGCCCTCGGCCTCCTAGTGCTCCCTCCTCTTACCCCGTGGCAAGGCCCATCTAGAGACTGGGGAGAGCCCCAGGGATGCCCCGACATTAGCACCTCGGGTTGGCTCAGGGCCACCCAAAGCCAGTTCTAATGCGGCTCTCCTTCCATACATTCTCGGTGCTTTGTTCTTTCTTCCTGCACTCTGGTAATTTCAAATCTTTTTACAAAGCTATGGGAGCACAAATACTATGACCCTCTGTAGTTCAAACAGCCGAGAGCTTGGTGTGGACGACACCCGAGTGCAACAGCTGATTTTAGACACAATCTGATGGCTTCGAACGTGTTTTTTCTTTTTTTCTTTTTTCTTTTTTGGTACTGAGGATCGAACTCAGGACCTTGAACTTGCCAGGCAGGCACTGTGCTGCTAAGCTACATCCCCGCCCGAACACACTTTTTAAAGACAAGAGTATTTCACTTTTCCAAATCTTAATTTCCTTTGTCCACAAGGTGTATGTGCTGTGCCTGTGTCACATGTGAGGAGAGTGTGTGTGCATATACACTGTCTACACACACGCACACACACGTGTGTCCACACAAACCCCCGAAGATCTGCATGCTCTCTCCAAAGTGCAGGCCATCCCTTCCCTCAAAGTCACATTCCACGCCAGTTTTGCTTCCCTTTTGCTCTCAGTAACTTTGGCTACGAATAGGTTGGATGTTATGAGAAGCATAAATTATACAACACAACATAATCATTCCCATCTCAAAGCCAGTGAAGTAACCCACTGGAACACGTCCCTGAAAATTACAATAGTCCCTGTAGGAAAGAAAAAAGAGCAAATTTGGGGAGATTTGGGGGGTTTTTTTCCCCTCATTCCCTACTCAAGATGAAGAATAAAAATTGGACTAGATAAATTATTACATCTATCTGTTCAGTCAACACTAAATTGGGCCATTTGAAATGTCTCAACTTAGCGTCCTTATTTTCATTCTAACAACTAACTGTTGATCAGTGCTGAACAAATTCTGATTTTCAGGGCTGGGGATTTAGCCCAGTGGTTCCGGTGCCCACCGTGCAAGTGCAAGGTCCCGAGTTCAATCCCTGGTACCAAAAAAAAAAAAATTCTGATTTTCAAACAAGCTGTATTGTCTCATTCACTCTCTAATTTTCTATAAAATGTCTTTTATTTTTTAAAAACTTCCATCCAGGTGTGATGGTGCACATTTGGAATTGCAGCACTTGGGAGGCTGAAGCAGGAGGGTCACTGTGACTTTGAGGCCAGCCCAGGCTACAAAGTGAGGTCAAGGCCAGCCTGATGTGCATAGTGAGACCCTGCCTCAAAAACAAACAAATGAAATGCTGTAATTCAAACAAACGGTGAAATTAATACAGCAAAGAGATGTGAGATACTCATTTACAAGGTGAGAAGAGCAACTCTGAGATATGAAAGGGTGAAAAGGGTGGACAAAGTCGATCCCTTTGCAAATTCGACTTTAAAACAGACTTAAAACGAAGGGATAATTACAGTTTCACGCCACACGGTCACCGACCACGCCTCATCCGAATGTGCCTGTGTTCCACCCGAGCAAGGGCAGCACGGGTGGAGAAGCGACTTGCCTGGCTGTTGTCCTCCCAGAGAACTGCCACATCCAGGGGAAAAACCAGCCGGAACCCAAGGGCAGTTCCACTGGGATGCAGTTCAGAGCGATCCCGATGCAGAGCTGGGCCTGTGTGGTGACAGGTGACAACTGCCGCCCACCATGAGGCCAAGGGGTCCCTTGGCCCTTCCCCATCCCGCACAAAGCACCAGTGAGACCGTGACTTCCAGCACCAAGCAGGAAGCCAGCCTGGAGACCGCTCCACCACCAGATGTGTGCAGCGCGGGGTCCTCCCTGACGCCCAGTCCAGACCCGTGGGGGGCACAGGAGACGCGATGGGTGACGGGAATGGCATGCAGGGCTACAGCAGGACACCTGTTTGTAGAGCACGGGCTGTAGCAGCTCTGTGGACAGTGGTGTGTCTGCATGTGGAGTTGTACCATGACCCTCAGTTATCAATAACTAATAAAGCCACACTGAAGAAACATGACGATTATCTAATGTCCCTATAGTAAACTTTATAAAATTGTCACCATAAGGAGAATTCACTGGCCATATATATATAGGAAGTACTGAAGGATTTCTATACAATGGAGCACTACTCTGCCATAAAGAAGGATACACTTGAGTCATTTGTAGGAAAACAGAAGCATCTTGAGACCATAATGTTAAGTGAAGTGAATCAGACACAGGAAGTTAAATATCACATGGCTTCTCCTATATGAGAAACTCGAAGTGTAAATAAAGAGCAAAATGAAAGGCAGATAGTAGGAGAGGGCAGCGAGAGCTTTGGCAGATGGGAAGGGACCAAGTGATGAAGGGGTGACGCTGTGTTATGCACACCAACTCCCCGCCATGAATTAATTGTTATGAATCACGACCGTGTACTAATACAAATTTCTAAAAACAGAAAAATTTTAAAATACAAAGAACACGCACCAGCAGTTACTCCGGAAACAAGGGGCTATGGAGGATTTATTTGCAGCCGCAAACCGACCTAACACACTATGCGAAGCATCCGTGACTGGTGGCCCGGCCTGGGGTGCAGCGTGCTCTCCCGAGCTGAGCCGCCCTCAGTCCTGCAGCTCGGCCTGTCTTTCTTCCTCTTCCTCAAAGCTGGCGTTTGCTGAGGAGAACCGGAAGGAGGCCGCTCACATCACCTCGAGGAAGGAGGGGGAGCCCAGTCCTCGGGGCCTGCGGGGCCCACACCCCCCTCTGCCCGGCGGCCGCGGCCCTCACCCTGGTCCACGTCATAACTGTTCTCCCAGGTGTCCGCGTCCTCCTCTCCCGGCCGCAGATCCAGCTCACCCTCCAAAGCTTTGGGCAGATCCTGGGTTTCCTCCTCGAGCTCAGTGGCGCCTGGCATCAGAGGGACCGAGGCAGCAGGTAGAGGCGGTGTGGCCCAGGTCCGCTGCCCTTACCTGGCCTTCCCAGCACCCTCGTTCTCCTCCTCCTGAGGGGGGCCCCCAGCCCCAGAGCACCCCTCCTTGGCTGGCTGGTGACCATTAGTGACCACAGGGAAGAGGACACAGAGGGAGGCTGTGCAGGGGACAGCAAGGGTGGCCAGAGCTGCGTGGCAGGTCCTGGGCTTGCCAGGTACAGAAGTACCCAGCTGGCAGGAGAAGGAGGGTCACTAACTCAACCTAGGCCGACTTGCTTGGGCTTTTGACCATTTTCAGTGGAAGGAAGGCGGCCCGGTGCCCCTGCTTCACCCTGGGGCACATTACCAGCCTCTGGGAGGGAGCCTCCGGCAGATGAGAAGGGCCCAGCCCAAGTTGACCGTGCCGGGCGCTGACCAGGGACCTCAGCCCGCCCGGGGCTCCAGGCTGGCTTCCGGCTGGGCTCTCCTTCGCCAGCCACTCTGACATTCCACCCCCAGGAGTGTCCCCGGGAGCGTCCCAGAGTGCGTCCGTCGGCCCTGAGGCCGGGGCACACAGGCTGTGACCCCGAGGATGCCCCGTACCCTCCACCTCGAGCGTCTCCTCCGGGCCAGCTCCATCTGAGGGGGGCTTCTGCTCGGGGAGGGTCGGGGTCCACAGAGCCAGCTCTGTGATCTGGGTCGCTTTCCATTTTGGAACCACATTGACTGAGGTCTCCTCCTCTTCCTCCTCTTCTACTATCTCCTATTTTAAGTGAAAAAAATACAAATTTACCAACATTTGCATAATCTGGGTTGGAATACTGGAAGCAAAGGAAAGAGGCCAGACTTGGTTGTGTGGGAGCCTTTGGTAACACTGCAGGGCTGCTCTTTAAAGTGAGAATGACACCCATCAGTTAACAAGTAAGTCAAAGGTTCAAGACTAGTATAATATCAAGCCATTTGCCTGAGCCACTAGTTATCTGCAGGCAGAGGTCAGACACTAGCAAAGCTGGGAAGCCAGCCACAGACCCATCCCCAGCACCCACCCCATCTTTATGTGGGTGCCCGGTAGCAACGACATTAGTGGGCTAGTTTTTAATAGAATTCAGTATTGATATGAATGCTAAGTATTGGAAAGGAGAAAAAAGAAAATGATGCATCAAGCAGGCTCCCAGAGGGGCGCATCACCCCAACACACAGCCGCTTCCCAAGTCAGAGCATCCCAGATTTCTGCGGCCATTTCTGGACCTAAAGCTGCCCCGAATCCCTAGCTCAGGACAAGCTGGTCTTCTGGACAGAAACGGCCTAGATTTCGGCAATGACTGTCCGTGATGTCGGCTACTTCTGACAGTTCAGTTTCGCGCAGGCACACAAAAATATAAAAGGGCAATGAAATGTGAGAGGTGCCAAGAGTTAGCCTGACTTTCAGGCAAATCTGGAACCCTCCAGAGTCGGAATGGCGACGCCTCTTTTTTGTCTATGAATCTAGAAATCCGTGCCCTCTTCAACTTACCACATCTGTCAGGCGGTACTCGCCATGCTGTTCACATCCAACGTCGAATATGTACTTTCCAGGCCCGACAGGCTAGGAGCAAAGGGGAGACAGATCGAGGCTCCACCCAAGGGAAACATCGAACATCACATCCCTGCCCACCTCCCACCTGAGCCCGGCCACTGGGTGAAGTCTGACGCAGGTTATGCTTTATGACCGAACGGCTAATGAAACTGCAAAGCGTATGTCCCATTTCGCGTAGTTTTGAAAACTTCCACCACATTTTACTGCTATCTGCAAGTGATGTTAATCATCATAAAAATTTGAGCAAGTCAGCCCCCACTGGCAAACCAGCCAGACCCAACTGCTACCAGCATCTTGAAATGTTCTGCTACTTTGTTTCTAGCAGGTAGGGTTTTGTTTTTCTAACAAACATCTGACCATAATTACACAGTAACTATTTTTAGCCAGTTGTCAGCCTGGTTTTAATTTCATCTGTGGAATATAATCTACTTTAATCATTCACTGTTGTTGACATTTGCTATGCCTTTTTTTTTTCTTTGACAAATGCATTTCTTTTCTTAGCAAATGCATTCTGAATTAAATCTTTGGGGTAGATTTTAGAGAATTCCAGAACAAATCATATGTATTCTGTCCAGAGCGAGGTCTTGATGACCTTTTCCTACACTATTTCAGAGGCTCCAGGCTCTCGATTTTCTGGGCATGACCATCCTGTCCTCTCCTTACAGGATCTTTACATAAAAAACAGGAATCTCAGCATTTTTAGCTGCACCTTTCAAGTTATTGGCAAGGCTAGATTTTTTTTCAAGATTTTAAAATATTTTTAAAATTCGATTTTAATTGTATAAATTTATGGGTTACTGTGTGGTAATTTCATATATATATATGTATATATATATGTATATATATGTGTGTGTATATATATATATATATATATATATGTACTGTGTAATAATCAAACCAGAGCAATTAACACTTCCTTAAACTTTTTTATAAGTTTTTGATTAACATGTTATCATTGTACATATTTATGGGGATTATTTAAACCACATGGACGGACATAAATCTTCACATATTAAATGTTGCAAATATCCTAGTACATTTGTCACTTGTCTCTTAAGTTTTCTTCAGTGTTTCCTAGTCTAGAAAGGGTTGTGTGTTTGTGTGTGTGTGTGTGTGTGTGTGTGTTACCAAGGACTGAACCCAGGGCCTTCACCCTGAGCTCTGTCTTCAGCTTTTTTTCTTTCTGAGACAGGGTCTCAATAAGTCACTAGATTCCCTAGGCTGGGCTCGAACTTCTGATCCTCCTGTTTCAGCCTCCCAGAGTGCTAGGATTACAGGCATGCACCACCAAGCCTGGCCCTAATAAGGGATTATCTTTATGTAACCAAATCTATTGCTTTTTCCTTTATGAGTCTGTGTAAAAAGTCCTCTTTCCTAATTTCAAAGGTAATAAATATTCACTTATTTCTTCTGTATCTGATTATCTTGGTTATATTTAAATTTGACTTTAGAAAATACCTTCATCTATATGCTAAGGGATGAATTCTGACTTAATCTTCTCCCAAATGGTGATCTGGTTGTCCCAGACCAGTTCCTGGCCCTACCCCTCACATGTTCATTCGTTTGAAATGGCACCTTTACCAAGCGCTCAATGGTTTTGTCTGCTTTCTGGTCTGCTTCACTCATCTGTGAATCCTACCTCAAATCACACTGCCTAATAAGCTCACCAAGGACACAAGCAGGAGATTTTCTGAGAAAGTGTGGGAGATGCTTGGCCTCGCTAGTAACCAGGGAAGGACACTTTCAAACAATGGGACAACATTTTTACATTTTTTAAAAAAACAAAAAGCAAAACAAATAAAATTAAAGACTGATCATACCCAAGGTTGGTGAGAACATGTGATAGACTCATACTCTATTGTTGAGAATATAAGTTGGCAGAGCTGCTTAGAACAACTCCCATGATGAGTCAATTTAAAATCTCAGTACCTATGGGCCTAAGGGTGTAGCTCAGCGGTGCTGCACTTGCCTGGCAAGTTCAAGGACCTGAGTTCGGTTCCCAGCATTGGGAACCAAAAGAATCTCAGTACTTATACATTTGGTAAATCCATTATCTACGTAAATACTACATAAATTATCCTGCACAAACATTACTGTCAAGAGACAAAACTAGAATAAAATTAGTTTTAAAATCTCCTTAGCTTTTATTTGCGATTCTAGGTTTGGGCAACAACTCTCTTGAAATAGAACGTGTGTTCCAATGAGCAAGCACGAGGCTGATTTATAGACAGAAGGGCTAATAAGGAAGCAGAGAATGATAGTCAGACGGGCCATTTCAAAGTCACTGCTTACAAGGCCGCAGTGAGGACACCCTTGCCACTCCCGCCCTGTCTGGGGTGAGGCTGCCTCTCCTAGCTGCCGGGAGGTCAGATCAACAACCTCGCTGTGCCTGGTGACACAGAACTTTGGCATGAGTGGCCCCATTTGGTGTGACCTGCAGGGCCTAGGGCAGGAGCTCAGTCCCAACCAGCAGCCTGCTTACATTCCCTTCAACACCCCACGTGTGCAAGGAAGAGACAGACACCTCCCTGGGTCCCGATACAGCGTGACCCTGTTTGTGTGATTCAAATCTCAGAACTGTGCTTCTGCACCAGCTGTCTGTGAGAGAGAGGCAGGGGCAGAGAGAGAACAGAAACAGTGGGGGACACACACGGAGGGGGAAGTGGGTGGGCCTGGGCGGGAGGGTCAGAGGGGCCCATTCCAGTGCCCCGATGCTTTACAGTTAGAAAACCCTGGTGGATTCTCTGAGTAACCTAAGTTTCTTACTAACTAGAAGAACAAACCCTCTATTTCACTCTTACTCTTTCAGATCAACCTAGCCTAGCTTACTGAGCCTGCCAAATTCATGGGTAAGGCACGAACTATACGCAAATGAAAATTGGAGAGATGTATTAAGAGTTGGGCATTCCCCGTGTCAGCCTCTGACACCACTCATTTGCTCAGCAAAGTCTCCTCGGGGACAGTTTCTGCTTGCACCCCAGTCAGAGCCACCGAGAATGCCCATGTGGTGGGGTATGAATTACCCTGGGTTCCTCTGCATCCTATGAGCCCTTGGTACAAGAAAAGCAAGCGAAACTGGAGTCCTCTGAGTGGTGGGAGCTGGAAGCCAGAGGCACACACAAGCCCGGGCCAGCACTCTGGGCAGGGCTCAGTCCCTCCCTGACCACAAGCAGTGGGCTGGCCAGCAGCAGAGGACGGAGCTTGGGATCTCCCTCCCCGGGCTCCACCACCTCCCCTCACGGGGGAAAGGAAGCTAGAGTAGATATCTGACCTCTGATTCACCAGCCAGCAGGGCACGACCAGCAGAGGCTGAGAGGTGTCCTAAGAGGGAGTGGCTGCCGGACCCTGAAGGGCAGCCTGCCGATGCTCAGGGAAAGAGCCCCGCACCGCCCCGCCTCCCTGGCGCCCAGCTCTGCCCTCTGAGGGCCTCTGAGGGGCACAGCAGCCACTGTTTGTGTGTGGAGCAGATAGCCCCTTGCTCTTCCCAGCAGGGGTGAGGGGAGGGCTTGCTGCACTCTTCCCGCCCAGGCCCCTGGCCCCTGACTTACATTTTTGTTCAGGAACTTGCCCTGGTATCTGTGGTTCAGGTGGATGAGCTCGGCCGCGCCCACCTGCTGGCCGTGCACCCAGGTGCCCACATACTTGCTGCCCGTCTCCGCGTAGAAGTAGGTCCCCTGCCCGTGCCTGTGAAGATAAGGGGCCGCAGCGCGCTTGTCTCCGCATGCTCAAAGCCCTACGGTTTCTAGCCAGACGGTGGGGTGGAGGCCGGCTGCAGCTAAGTCGGCTGCTGTGTCCCATGAAGGACGCCTCCTGTGCCACTGGCAGGCACACAGAGGCTGGCTGGCTGCCAGGCTCAGGCAGAGTGGGAGCTGGGGCTCTGTCCCCTGCATGGGTCGGTGAGGGATCCGCATGCTCTGTCCCCACTAAGGAGCCACCCCAGCCCCTTGGGCCACACCTGCTTGGCGACACCCCCGCCGGGCACACCCGCCTGGAAGCGCCTGGGGGAGGCCCTGAATGGCATTTGAGGGCTTCGCTCTCTAGCAAGTGGGAGCCAACAGAGGCTGCCACTCTCACTCCATGAACAGCTTTGCTGGGAGAGGAGGCCAGACCTTTGGTGAGCGAGCCACTCCCCGGTGTAGGTGTCATTGTTGACGTAGTAGTACACGCCGTGCCCGTGCCTCTGGTCATCTGCCCACTCCCCTGGAAGGGACGGCACAAAAGCCAGCCTGGTGAGGAGGGAAGGGGCCAGCACCGTGAGCCCCAGCAGCGCGCTCAGGAAATTCAATGGCAGGGGCAGCTCTCACCTGTCTGTCTGTGACCTCCCTCCACCCCTCCGGTGCCCACTGGCACCAAGGCTGAGCCACCCTGCAGGGTGAGAGGCAGGGGGAGCAGGGTCCCCGGGGCATAGGTGGCTGTGCACAGACAGGGGCACCAAAATGTATGGTGTTTAAGTTTAAAATTTTATTACAGTAAAAGATACATCGTGGGCCCCACGCATGGTGCCAGAGGTCCTGTAAGTCAGAAGCAGCCTTCGCTGGTTAACTTTCACATTAGAATCTTCCAAAAATCCATATTCTGGGTATCTTAGAGAAATACTGTATATTTTGTTCAAATTTATCAATATCTACACTAAAATTGGAAGCGACTGCAGTGTGATGAGGCTCACAGAACTGGGACAGGATTTCCTACAGGCCTAAACTAAACTGTTCAAAGCCTGCCGAGACAGGGAAGGACACAGATGCCGTCTCTGCCAGGGGAGCAGGAGCCCTGTCCCCCCCGTCTCGGGATCAGAGTCCCCACCTGCAGGCTTTGCTTGCCATCTGTTGTTCCTGGGTCTCATTCTGACCTGGACGATCAAGGCTCTGCTTGGATAATTGTCCCTGAGGGGTCTCCAGCCCCGACTACCGGATGTGGGAACCTTTAAGAGGTGGGACCTTGTGGGAGGAATGCTGTCACTGGGGGTGGGGACCGGGCCCTCCTCATCCTCGTTGGTTCCCTCTGCCAGGAGGTGAGCAGTTCAGCTGCCAGGAGTTCCTGCACCACGGACAGAAACCTCCGAAGTAAACCTTCCCTCCTTTAAGGTGATCATCGATGATACTTGTCACAGGGATGGAAAGATGACGCCAGAGCATAGCTTGCTGGTAAAGCATGTGTCACCCGCATAAAGAAGTGTGTGGCACACACCTGTATTCTCAGCCACTTAGGAGGCTGAGGCAGGAGGATTGCAAGTTGGAGGCTAGCCTGGGCAACTTAGCAAGACTTTGTCTCAAAGTGACATAAAAAGGGCTGGGGCACAGCTTAGTGGCAGCGGGCTTGCCTGCATGTGCAGGGACCCTGGCCCTGTCCCCAGGGCTGTGGGAAAGAAAAGTGGTGCTGTCACTTGTGGTCCTCCATGATCCCTGTGGACGTTCGCTGCACTCTCCCTGGTAACCAGGCACTGACCCACTCCATCTTCAGAAGCCGAGACATGGGGAGGAAAAGTCACCCACACACGGTCACAAGGTCACAACTTTTGGCACTGCAGTCTGAAGCTGGAGTCACAGATCTTGGATGTAGATGGACAAGGTATCATTTCCCCAAGCGGGGGACAGGAAGCCCGGAACACAGGCTTCTTCAGACGGTGCTGGGGTTCACAGCCGCTGCCCACGGGCTCTCCTGCCAGGGGAAGGGATGGACTGCCGTCATCACAGCAGGGGCAGCGAGGCCCAGAAGGGTGTGGCTCTGGGGAAGAAGGTGAAGGAGCCCTCCTAGGGCCTGCCCTCCATAACAGAAGTGGGACAGAGATGGGAAAGCCAGCTGAGCAAATGAAGGAACCACTAGGTTTGAAGAAACAGTGCATCCACGTGAAGAGCAAGGGCAATCTAAGAGAAACAGAGGCACAGAGCCATGGGTCCAGGCCTCGCCCCAGGTCTGGGTCCAGAACTGGGCTCCCAGGAGAGTAAGCACTGGCCCCAGGGACAGCCATGTTTCCCACTCTAGTTAATTAACCGGTTAGCTAGTTAACTACAAGGCTTTCTGGCTTTCCTGTCAGCCCTGTGAACACAGGCACACAGTTTGCATTTGTTGAATGACGGACTAATCTTGAGAAATTTAAGCTTTCGAATACTTCTACATCCACAGATAAGTTCAGAGATAAAAACCTCTGCCACATTAAAAAAAAAAACATGTTTTGGGATAATATTTTACCTTCATATCTTGATCCATCTGGATATATAAAAATGCCTTGACCATGCTTTTTATTTTTAAGATATTGTCCAGTGTACCGGGCACCATTTTTAAACTTGTAGATCCCCTGAAATACATCGAGGACATCATTGAGTATGTGATTGAATCGCAGATTTGCTAACAGAGAACGAAACACAAAGAAGCCACCCTCCCACATCGCTAGGCTGACCTGGCCACTCCTTTGCCCGAATTCGTAGCTGCCTTCGTACACATCCCCGTTGGGCAGCCGGGCTCTGCCCTGTCCGTGCCGCTCGCCGGCCTCATTTCGCTCCCCTTCGTACTCCTGGGGAGAAGGGTCAAGGTCACCACGGCTCAGGCATCAAGTGCAGACCCAGGTCCGGTGGGAGCCCCAATCCTGGCGCTACACACAGTGGCCCCACGGCACAGGTGAGGCGGGTAACCATGAGCCCACACAGCAGGGGTGTGTGTGTGTGTGTGTGTGTGTGTGTGTGTGTCCTCTTCACGAAGCTCCTCTCAGGCCCTCCAACATCTGAGCCTACAATTTATGATGCACAACCTCAAGGGAAAACCACGATCAGCCACGTGTGAGGAATTCAACTGGCTGTGCTGGGAGGCCCCGCTGACAGTAGCCTGCAGCAGGCAGGACAGGTCAAGCGGGCCTGTCTACTTCCTCCACCAACAGGTCCAGTCAGAAGCAGTTCCTCCTGCGGTGCCCCCTGGGGTGTCTGTTCCTGAGAAGACCTTTGTCCTGCAGGCAAGGAGAGAGTGCTGGGCATACAAGGGCCCCACTGCTCCTAGCTCAGCTTACTTTTTATCTACTGCAGAGGCCCTATCAAGAAACTCGAGGTTCAAACACTCACAGCCCGACCTATCGTGAAGGTCAGTTGGGCCGGAGGTGTAGCTCAGCAGTAGAGTGCTTGTCCAGCAGGCCCCAGTGTTTCAGACCCAGTGTCGGACTGTTATCTCAGCCATGTGGGGAGGGGAGTGTAAGACACAAAGATCACTTGACAGCAGGCGTTTGAGACCAGTCTGGGCCATATAGCAAGACCTCAGCTCAAGTAAACAAAAGTTTTTCAAAGTTCAATGAAAAATATAATGCTAGTTTACTTGCGATTTTCCAATGCTTATCACCATGAGTGTAGAATACGAATAATGAGTAATAAAATGAGCCCGGTGTGGTGGTGTGGGTCTGTAATCCCAGCACTAGAGAGGGTGAGGCAGGACAAACAAAAAGTAATAAAATGGCCAAAGAATACAGTAATGACAACGTGGGTAGTTTAAGGCATCATGTTGGATACCTTAAACATATACAATAACGTGTATTTTATGAGTTAAAACTAAAACCGCCATGGAATTGGATGCGTAGATTTATTACAAGTATGACTGTATTCGTATGCATAGAGGTGAAGGGCTCAGACAGAAACAGCTCTGTTTCACCTGGAAATTCCTGCCTGGGCTACAAGTGGTGAAAACGTGTGGCCTCATGGACTAGATTCGGGGTGAGTCTAAACCAAAATGTTCAGCGGCCCCCTCCCCTCCGGCTCGGAGAGGCTCCAGTGCCCAACCCTGAGCTCCCCCGAGTGGCTGCAGATGAAAGAAACCCTTGGTCTAAGCGGTCCCAAATGTGGCCTGAACTTCAAACTTATGGGCCCCAAAGTTACAATCTAGTTTCGTCCTTTGAGGATACCAAGTAGAAAGCTCACAGGGCAAGGATTGTAGGTTGGATTCAGGAAGCAGACCCTGAATAAAGGACCCGAAAGGCAGTTAAGCAAGGGCGAAGTCTCGATGAAGTACAAGCCTCAGATTAACTGCAGAAGGGGTCTGGGGCGGGTTCCGCTGCAGCTCGCCCTGGTCCTCCCACGGAGCACTGGCTGTCAGGGAGCCAGGAGTGGGCCCCAGGCACTTCCGGCTCCGCAGTGGCCTGTTAGTTCCAGGGTACACAGGGAGAAGCTGGACAGGCACCGGCCACCTCACGGAGGAGCTGCTTGATTCTTCTGTTGAGTCTGAAACTACCCTAACTCCTGGCCTGCCCATCCGCCTGGGATCCCAGCCCTCAGGCTCCCGGAGGAATTGCTCTCAGGGTAAACGAACGCAGGGGAAGCCTCTCTGCCCCGTGCGTCCCCTGCCTCCCCTCTGCTGACTCAGAGGGGTCACTCCTCGGCCCGGGTCAGCTGGCGGGTACAAGCGCGCGGCCGAGCCAGGCCTCCTAGGGACGTCTCCGGGCCCTCACTCTCCAGAGCCGGGCTTGCCTGCCGGGAAGCAGCTTTAGCCTCCACCTCACTCCTGGAGGAGCAGGGCTCAAATTACCGCCTGGGAGGAGCGGCGAAGTCCCCCCAGGGCAGCTCCCAAGGGGAGGAGGGGAAGCCACAGCCCCCGCCTGGAATCTTCGCCTTTAAATGGGAGGAGGGGGGGAGCGAGGGCGCGCAAGGCGGGCGGCTCCGGACGTCACTGCGCCTCACCTTTCGCGGTCCACTGGAGGACGCCGCGCCTCGGGGTGCGGCCGCGCGGTCCTGTCCCGGCTGGGCAGCGGCTCCTTTTCCGTCCCCGCCTCTGCGCCCCCAATCCGACCCCGGAGCCGCGCACCCCAGCAGGAGCGCTCACCCCAAGATTGTCCTCTCCCTCCTCCTCCAGCTCCTCGGAGCCCAGATCCGACATGGTCTCCTCTCAGCCTAGGTCCCAGTCGCCACGTCCCTAGCAGGTAAGTACCCGCCACCTCCTCCGGTGCGTCCACCGTCTCCATGGAGACCGGTCGCCCCCCCATCGCGGCCGGGAAGGGGCGGGGCGAGAGGCGCGGGGAGGAGCCAGTGGTAGAGCTGGCGTGCTGCCCTGGCAAGGGGAAGGGCGCGTGGACCAATCATGGACCGGAAGAGGGCGTGGCCAAAAGCACAGAGGAGGAGCCAGGAGTGGCCCTGGGATACAGGGGTACTGCCTAGCAACGGAAGGGCACGTTGACCAATCACGGCCCAGGAGGAGGAAGGGGCAGGGCCTGGGTCGGCCTAGCTCCGCCTTCGGCCTAACCTGGACACCGCGCGCGCAGACAAATCAACCCAACCCCAAGTGTCCCAAACGTCCCTTTCCCCACTTGTATGCACCGGCCCGTGCCGTACCCTCTCCTTGGAACGCCTGCCTTCCAGGCTCTGCGACCAGAAATCACTGGCTAAGGAAGCTCCTTCACAAAATAGCTTCAGAGTGAGAATCAAGGCGCCCTTGTGGAGGGAGAGAGGAATAGGATTTGGAGAGAGAGGAAGTCTTCGACTGTATCCCATCGTTAATGGTCTGAGTGTGACAAAATGTAAAATTTAAAGTGACAATTTTTTCAAATATTTAACAAGTTAAAATGCTACATAAGCTGGGAGTGGTGGCACATGCTTGTAATCCCAGCACTCAGGAGGCTGAGGCAGGAGGATTGCCATGAGTTCAAGGCCAGCCTGAGCTACATAGCAAGACCTTGTTTCAAAAATCCAAAACAAAACAAAAAAGCTACATATGCAAGGTATACAATGTAGTGATTTGATATAGATATACTTTGTATACTGATTACCACAAATGAGCACATCCGTCACCTCCCACAGTAACTATCTGTGTGTATGAGTGTGTGTTTGTGGGGGGGGGGGGTGAGAACACTTAAAATCTCCTCCTCAAATTTCAAGTAAACAAGACACTAACATTCACAGCAGTCACCATGTTACCTATCTGATTCCCAGAGCTTATTCATGTATTGTGTAACCAAAGCTTATACTCTTCCACCAACATCTCTGTTCCTCCATGCCCCAGCCCTGGTGACAACCACTCCACTCTCTGCTTCTGCAAGTGTGACTCTTTTGCATTCCACAGTGCTATGGTTTGAATGTCTTCTTCCAACAGCAGGTGTGACCAGTGTGATAGCATGTTGGCCAGCTTTCTGTCACTGTGACAAAATACCTGAGGTGATCGATACAGGGAGAAAAGGTTTATTTTGGCTCACAGTTTCAGAGCTTTCTGTCTGTGGTTGGTTGGCTTCTTGCTTTTGGGCCTGTGGCAAATGCGCTACATCATCATGAGCTCACACCATGGCAGCTGGAAGTGAAAGACAGAAAGGAGCCAACGTTCCAATGTCCCCTTCAAGGCCACGCCCCCGTAACCTAGCTTCCTCCTGCTAGGCTCCACCTCTTAACAGTTCCACACACCCCCAAGAGTGTCCCAGGCTAGCAAGCAAGCCTTCAGCACATGGCCTTCAGGGGAAACTCACTCATAACACACGGTGTTGGAAGGAGGCCTTTAAGGGGTGACTGGGCCACCAGGGCCTCTGCCTTGTGAATGGGATTCAGGCTGTGGTAAGGAGGCTGCACACAGCATCCTGCTATCTTGCTTTTCTGCCTTGTAAGGACAGAGCAAGTGTCCTGGTTACCCTTTCGCCTTTCCCCATATGAGGACACCACAAGAAAACCCTCATGACAGGGTCTTGTCTTAATCTCAGGCTTCCTGGCCTCCACAGTGATGAGAGAATAACCTTCTCCTCTTACACATCACCCACTCGTTTGTTACAGCAGCACCCGTGGGCAGGCATGCACACAGAGGTGAGATCGCACGTATTTGACTTCCTGGCCTGGCCTATGTGACTACCATCCTGCCCTCCAGGTCCAGACAGGGTCGGCAAATGATAGGATTTTCTGTTTTGTTTTGGTTTGGTTTTTCAACCAAGTAGTATTCACATACACACAGTATCATTTTCTTTGCTCGTCAGCTGATGGACACTCATTGTTTCTCCACCTTGGCCGCCATGAACAGTGCTGCTTTGGACACGGGAGAGCAGGCATCTCTTCAGCACAGGGTTCAGTTCCTGTGGATATAAGCCCAGAAGTGGGATTGCTGGGCTGTGTGACCATTCCAGTTTTAAGTTTATTTTGCTGTACTGGGGATTCAGCCCAAGGCTCTGTGCATGCTAGGCACGTACTCTCCCACTGAGCTACATCCCCAACCTTTTATTCCTCTATTTTTAACTTTTTAAGGAACATCTGCATTGCTTTCCATGGCGGGCTTGTTGGATTAGTATATATTGACCAGATTCTGCTGTATTTGAAATTTTTTGTCCTAAGCACTGGGCATCGCCCCCCAGCCACTCCTGTGGCTCCGTCAGAAGGGCTCACTGTCAATGCCCATGGCGCCTTAACCCATCCTTACCACAGGCACCAAGTCCTGTCTCCTGCGGCAGGCGTCCGGGTGCTCATCTGGCTTTCCGACACCCAGGAGCCGCGCCAGATTCGCCTGGCTCCCACACAGCACCTAGAGGAATATTTGCACATAGTAGCTGCTCAAGCAAAAGCCCAAAACCCAGTGCATATGGCCTCAGAGGTCCCTGGTACCATGACAGCAATATTGTAGGCATCTTTCTTCCTGTATCAGTTTTACTTAAAAGCGTCTATTTTTGCCTGTAAAACTATAGACCGTCCAGATGAAAACAAAGGTTGTTTATTCAGAGCTTGCAATTGCAAGGGAGCCAGTGAGCATCATTGTGTGTTGGGAAGGCAGAGGCAGAGGGGTGGGAAAGCTTGAGAGTGGAAGGGGAGGCTTCAGAAGCTGTGCCCTGTGTGGGGGAGCTGCAAGCCCTCCACCTAGAGAAGGGCACCCCATGCCCAAGAGGAGTGCCTGTTTCTCTCTCTGGTTTGTGCTGAGTTGGAAATGGGGATAGAGAGGAGGAAAATTGCCAGTTATTGGTCAAGTCCTGGCCATTTTGGTGGTTACTGGGTTACTGTCCAGCTTCCTAAAAGCCTGACTTAAGGCAGGCCGGTCCCCAGGGCTAGTTCTGTGGACACGGGCAAGTGTCCTGGTCTGTTTCTGTGTCTGAGCTCTGTTCGGATTCATGCTCTGGCTGTTGTATGTCCAGCCAAGCGTGTGTTTTTTCAAATTATACAAATTACTGTGTTTCATCTGAAAATATCGTATGGTTCTTCCTGTTGCTTTTGAAATGTAACACCTTAAATAATGATAACCTGATCATTTTATCCTATGAATTTAAACGTTCCAAAACACTGATCCAAATGGAGAGAAAATAGGTCCTAGAGAACACTGTTTGGTGAAACTGTTACCTAAGGAGAGCCACGAGGCCCATGCTCTAATTCTGGGTTCCCATGGCTTTTGGACTTTGGTGACCTCAAGCAAATCTCCTGCCCTCTGAGCCTCAGTTTTCTATTCTGTAAATGAAGGAGAATAAGCTCTTCAAATCTCCAAAGGGCTGCTGTGGTGATCAAAGATGATATTTTGTCAACCTATTGTTATTTGCTATCCACAAAGAAATCGCCTATCAGCTACATAAAGCTCCCTTCAAACCCCCCTGTTGCATTTGTCATTGTGGTGGTGGCTAAATACACATAGGCCTTTAGTCTCACGAGCAACACCACAGGTGCCAAAATCCACCGCAGACCCTCCACTGCATACCTTCCTTGCGGAGTTTTCTCTCAAAAACAATACCATGTAAAACCTCGCAATCTGACCCAAATCATCAGGCCCAAATGTATCACTTACAGAATAGACATTACAAGCAAATTGACACCCAAGACCCTAAGGTGATATCATTTTTAATTGCAAATATAAAAACATTATAAACACCCAAATTTAATGGCTTCCCATGTGGGAAAAAGTGAGGCATTGGAGCTGACAGATGATCATCATTTTCTTCTTTCTACTTGTTGGCAGTTTCCATACTCACTACAATTGAGCAGTCTTCTTTTTATAATAAAATGTCAAAAGTGTTTTAAATGTTAGAAATCTGGAATGGTAATATAATCAAGTATATGCAAATAAATGTTAGCTTTTGGCATATAAAAATAAATGTCAGAAATTCCACTTTCCAGTTGGCTCTAACATTGACAGGAACTAATGTTTGCCAAGTTCTGACCCTCTGCAGGCACGGTGTTAAGCATTTTCTATGTGTTGTCTTATTAAATCCTTGCCATCTTATAAAATCCCCATTGTACAGCTAAGGAAAGGGAGTGAGAGAGATAAGGTCACTGCCAAGACCCGGCAGTGGGCTCAATTGAAACCGAGCTGCCTAATTCAAGAGTTATTGCTGCAAACTCCAGACCTCTGATTTAAAGCAGTAACTATGGCTTTCTGGGGGTGACCTAAAACCATCTATCAAGCCAAGAACCCCTGGCTCAATCAGTCTTCCACTGAGAACTCCAGAAAATGGCTTAACCAAGCTGTTGTTAGGTAAACGCTGTCTGGGAAATACTGTAAGAGAAGCTAGCACCTAGCCATGGTGCCACTGTAAGAGAAGCTAGCACCTAGCCATGGTGCCACTGAATCCTAAGCCTTACTATTTGATTTAGGTCCCATACAAATCAGCCAGGGACCCAGACCCTCAGTCTTTTCACCTACAGCAGTTTCACCACACTGCTGGTTTAGCAATTATCCAAATAAAAAAGGCAAGGTAAAGTAAACCACAGGCCTAGCCTCCGACACCTGCAGCAGCAACTGGACTAGACCCCCAATCCCTTTCAGGCAACCCGTGGCACCTGCAGAGCTGGGGGAAGGTCTGGCAGAGCCTCCCCAGCACCTCTGGCACCACCCCCTAATCCGGAAGTGCTTGGCGATCATAGAAGCTTTACCCTGGGACTCTAATCATGCCCCAGCAAGCCAATCCCATCATCCCATGGGTCCTTCCCATCATTCCATGGGCCCACCCTATCATCCTCCAGCAAGCCAGTCCCACCATCCCATTGGCACTTCCCATAATCCCCCAGTGGGCCCTTCCCATCATCCCCAGCAGGGAGGAGAATCCACCTGATAGACCTTCCAGAGTAGGGTAGACAGAGAGTGTGCTCATGGT